TGGCAAGTGAAAACAAGCAAATGAAGAGTGGTAAATATCATTAGAAGAGGAAGAAATATTTCATTATTATTTCTTTTTACAGTATATTGTAACTCAATCTATGCTAATGCAAAAAATACCCATTAATCAATCAACGATAGAAGAAGAAGATCTTGAACATTTCGTAAGTTTTTTATCTTTTTTAACGAATATTATTATAATAATTAATTGAATTCGAATGAAATTAGATAAATTTTTATAATCCCTTCTTTTGAAAAACAAATAAGCTTTGTTCCCAAAAGTAATCAAAAGGTTCCATAATTTCGACTTTTTATAATATATTTTTTAAATTTTTAAATAAAATGGCGCCTTTTCAATGCTTTATTCGTATAAAAACTTGTAAAAACAGCGATATCATATCGTTGCTATTAATGAAAAGTTGTCGCTATTTTTCTCGCCATTATTGTCGTTATTCTCATTCTTAAAATTACAGAATTTATCCGTGTTCGATAATTTGCGACTAATTATTAAGAAGGACGGTGAGATGGAATGTACATCGAGCGATGCTGAAGATATAATCGGCACATTATTAATTGAAGGAAAGGTTAATCAAATTTCTAAAGTTTCTAATTTTAATTGCATTTTTATACTTTTTATCATAAATTCGAAAATAGCACTAAATATTATTTTCCTTATGAGGTGATTGTAGCTCAAACGCTATCTCTCCGATAGAAATAAACCTTCCTAAACATGGGTAACGTTTGGAATCCACCTATGCCTCTATTCCACATGATCCAAATGATTAGCTGGAGAGAATCAAGTCAAATTAAAAATAGTGAGCGCTAACCACTTGCTTTTCTAGTAAAATTTTTTTAAAGAGAATTTATTCAGACGTGTAAACTAAGAAATATTTTGCGTTCTTCAAAGAAAGGTTTTCTTCGTTGGTTCGCTCAGTATTTAGTCTTGAACCACGTCGCTATTAAGCCCCATCTTCATCAGTTTTATAAGCATTTTACGAAATCAATTGGCAGCGTGGATTTGAACAATTATATAAGAAATGAAACTTTTGGAATCATTCGTGTATGTTTTTTTAATTTTTACAGATCTTCGAATATATTTTTAAGTAAACTACTTTGATTTTTTCGTTTTGTTGTTTGAATAAATTTCATTTTTAGACGAAAAAAAGGAATTTTTTCAGACTATATTTTCATTCGATAATAGGCTCACCGAAATCTATTTTGCCTCAGTACGATATTTATTAAAGAATTTCGGTATGTGGCTAGGCAGTATAACGGTTGCTGATGACTCTCCAATATTATTATATGTTAGTTTTGGCAAACCTTTTTATCTTTGTTTTAAATTTTCATTATTATTATTCCCCGTTTCTAATTCAAGGCCATGGCAATTCAATTAGTACTGCTTTGAAATACAATTTGTACAAATTTTTTCAACTGTTTTAAATTTTCTCTTTCTTATTTAGGAGTTGGATTTAAAATCATTGCTATTAGAAGTGCATCACATTGGTCTTAAAGAACTGGAACTTGCTGTATCTTTTGTGGCCAGAGTACTTAAAGGGTGTTGTGAAAGCAAAGTAATACGATTCGTATCATTCATCACTTTATCATTTTTTTATCTTCATTATTATTTTATCAGCATTTATCATTTTTTGGTTTCATAACACAATTTTGCAGCTTTTTGGTCCACACTGCGCCTGGGTCAATAGTATTCTCAATGTGATGGCAGAACTCGAAAGCGGTGCCAATTCCAATGTGAAAAATGAAATAAGAACAATATATGCAGCATTAAATGTTATCTCAAATACCGTCCAATGAAGAAATGCTTAAGAAATTAAACTCATCGTTTTGATGGCTAACATAAGTTAAAATAGAATTTTAATCGACGGTACAAACAATTTTATATATTTTATATATGCAGTTTATTAGCAATTTTTTTGCATAAATATGTACAATAAAAGTTTTTTTTTCTTTTTCACAACTCGCAAAAAAAGTAGAATGTGTCATGCCGATTTTCTCTTTGGAATATTATTATCTATTCGGGCATTGATGCGAGCTTACACATATCTTTAATTTGTATGGTAAAATGGCGATCGTAGTATCGTTTAATCCGTCAAAACAAAAAATGATTAGAATAATAATAGCAATAATGATAATAATACTGATAATAATTATATAGAATTGTCATCTTTGTAATTCATTTCGTTTTTTAAACAGATCATTCAAAGATATTAAACAATAAAGCACAAACCATTTTTATTTAATTGAAAAGCAAGTTATCATTTTAAAAAAATTTTCTTTTGGATTTTTCTATAAAACATATTGTGATACTATTTTAGGGGAAATTTTTGACTGTAAATGATTTGTTGATATTTTGCTGATAAGGATGACTGAAGACCATGGAATTATGGCCAACAAATTGATTAAAATTTTCCCTTTTTTGTTCGCTGCATTGTTATTCTCTGTTCATCATTTCCAATTCCCTTTTATTATTCTTTCACATATTAATCTCATAATTTTTGGGAGTAGCAAATTCTTTAAAACATATTTGTTCCTGGTAGAATTAGGGGATCAATGCAGACCAACACTCGATCATCGCTCCTCTAGATTAAATAAATATTGCGAATTAAAAAAGTTCAGTTTTTTCTACTCGGCAGAGAAAGGCAGGTTTTTGAAAATTTGAAGTTTATCTATAATATTCTTCAATCTCTGCAGTCAAAAGGCAGCTAAAAGGACATACGAACGATTGAATGCTGGAGACCCTATACGTTTACCTTTTTCCTTAATTGATTATTTGGCTATATGGCACTTAAACACCTAATCGTTAGAAAATGAATAGACAACTTTCTGAAAAAATTTCAGATATTTGCCAATAGAGATCTAAATTTAACCGAATTTTACTGAAATCTGAATTCAGAACCGAAAAAAATGCAAATTTTTAATTTTTTATGGTTTTCTAGACTATTATTTATTAATGTTGCATATAAAATTGCAATTTTTACAACGGATTTCCCGTTGAGCCAGGTTATTTTGTTCATTTATTTTATTATATGCAATGTATGTATGATAGTTTGAAACTATCAGTAGATAAATAATTATTGTCAATCAGTTAAAAATACTTTTTAAACAAAAAATCATTAATGATAACATTGCTTAAATGGTAACAATGAAAAATAATTTTCGGTAAAAATTTACCAATGGAAAGCAAATGAAATAAAATAAGAACGTAAGAAATAAGAAAGTAAGAAATAGTTGTAAATAACTTTTAAATAGTAATTTTATTAATATCAATATCTTAATCAAAATAATAAATAAATGATCGAAATAATATCAAAATAATATCAAAATAAAAAATAAGTGAATTAAAGCGAATTTGGAATGCTCGCATCGCAGAAACATTAGCTGCAGCTAATCATCAAGTCACTCTCATACGATTGCAAATATTTTCTTTTGATGGAATGATGGAACTAAAAACTCCAGAAAATATTGAACGTTTGTTCTTATAAATTTAATGAGATTCGTTTGAAATTTCGATAATTTTTGAGATGAAAGATTTACTTAGAAATTCGATTTCAATTTTTCATACGTTACAGAATGGGTAATAAATATAACAACTTCGATAAGTTATAAGGAGATGGAAAGATTCCAAGATGAAATCGTTTATTCTGTAAGTTTAAACCAAGGTTTTTGAAGAGATTAGTTTAATAACTTGGCCAATATTGAAATGTTCCTTCTTTTTCTAGCAGCCCTCATAGTGTCTTCACTTGCTATTAGGATGAGACTCGTGCCTTACTTCAAAAATTTTTGGTTAGATGGTTTGTTAAGAGTTACGGTAAATATAGAAAGGTCGCCTTGTCTTCAAAAATACTTATAAAACTTATCCTATAGTAAAACAAAATTAAACTTAAATGATCTCAGATCTCTCGAAATTTATTTCAAAATTACATTTTAATGTTTCAAAATTAACAACCTTTGTTTTTATTTGATCTCCATTTTTTCTTCCACGAAGTCCCTTTTCCTACTTTTTAGTTCGATTTAACTGGTTACTCCGATTTCTTAATCAGATTAGCATTGGCTAGTAACGACAATTTGATTAAAACAAAACCCTTTTTTTCTCTGAGAACTGAGAATATCAGAGGAGGAAGCAATATTCTAATCCTTTTCGATTTAATAATTTGAGACGAGTTGAATCATTTCTAATCTCTTAAAACAAAATTTTACCCTCCAAAACAGAAGCATAAGTATTTATAATTGCAGAAGATGGAAGCGTATTTATAGGTAACAAAAATTTCATTAGAAATATATTAAGAATATCGAAATTTGAACAATTATTTGAAGTTCAAAGTAAAACGATTGGAGTCCAAAGTTAACAATTTACAACTTTTATTGGCAAAAAAATTAGCGCCCTTGTTATCTCAACGATTCCAACGCTTATCATCTTCTTTTTCTCGGAATTTATTTTTAGAACAGAATATGCGACGCTATTATTTCGCTTTTTTAGGAATTTTCATATGTCAATCTGAATATTTGGCGACAATCATCAAAAATGATTTTCGCATATAAAAATTTTTGCGCAGGTTAATGCATTATAATTTTACTAATGTTTTATAATGTTTTCATATTTTCTCTTTTGAATTCTCTTATCACTAGTGATATGGCCACCTTTTTCAATTACTCAAAAAATTTGTCTTGTGTATTTATCAAAATTGGCCGATAATTTTCAACGATAAATATTGAAGAACTTCATTATTATCCTTCTCGCATGATTGGTTTCGATATCTCTCCAAGGTGTTTGTTCCTAAGCCATGCTTGAAAGTAACAAAAGCCATCTCCACCCCCTAAGTCTAAATATCGCTAGGTACTATATGTTCAAAATCTTTTCTGATCGTTTCTGAAGTTTAAGTTTTGGTTGGGCTTCTGTGCTTTTAGTGCCATTCATCACAAGATATAGCCATTTGTCTAGTTCCATTTAGAGTAATTTGGTTGTCTAGTAAAAATATTGACTTAATGAAGCAAAAATTTCTAAAATACTCTAAAAGAGCATTTACAGAAGTACTGAGAGAAAATCTGCTAATAAATCGTCTAAAAGAATCAAATTTCGATTTGGCATTTTCACATATGTACGATTTTTGTCCAATAGGCTTGATATATGCCGCAAAAATTCCAACATGGATTTGGTTGAATAGTGGGCAGATAATGGACATAACTGCCCAATATATGGGTGTTCCAAGTCCTCCAAGCTATGTTCCACGCAAGTTTTTTCTGTGATTTACTCTTACTGCATTAAAATAAATAATGAACTGCATTAAAAGTTTTTATATAATATTAAAATAAAAGTTAGGAATGTCGCCCCAAAGGCTTACGGAGAATCAAAAGGATAAAAGGAAATTTTTAAAATTTGAAGTTTCTTGGCATTTGATTCGATTTTTAGGGAATTAGGGAATTGGAAATAAATTTCTACCAAATTTGCGCACTATAAATATAAAATTTAATTAAATAAATTAATGTAATTTTTGAAATGACGGTTTTCCATAATTTCACTATGAATTAGGATAAATGATTAGCGATCCATTTCTGCTTATGCTAACTCGGTTGGTTGGTTAGTACAGTCAAAAATTTTTGGCACGAAATAACTCGGCGATCTAAAAAAGTCACTAGCACCACCCGAAATAGAATATTTTTATGCAATGAAGAATTCCTGTTTATTGTAAATGTAAATTAAATTGTAAATTAAAAAATTATTATATTATTATTATAAAAATTATTATAAATGCGTCATGAATATATTGCAAATAAAAAAAATGAAATATTTTAGCAATACTGGCTGATTTTTCTGATCGTATGGATTTCAGCGAACGTCTCAAAAGTTTCATGGGACATATATTAATTCCTTTGTTTCAAGAAAGGTTTTTTTCAGTTTCCAAAATTTATATTCTGATCTATCAGGAAAGTGCTGATATTATAATAAAGCTAGCAGAAATGGTGAGTGTCATGGGAAGAAAAAGAAATCAAGAATCGTATGATTTGCAAAGACCAAAATATTCAATGCAGTATTAACTTAAAAAACCATAATAATTGATTGCAAATTTTAAATTGCATTTTTATTTTATTCTTAATTATTTTAAAAAATCATTCAGATTATTAATCAAACCTGAGACGGAATTTTTTCGAAAATATATTGACAAAAATTTCCCTGATTTGACTGATATCGCAATGTCTTGTCCACTTGCAATGGTTAACTCGAACGAACTTTATAACTTGCCGCGTCCAACTCTTCATAAAATAATTTACATCGGTGGATTGGGTATGAAAATTGAGAGCGTGAAACCATTGCCACAGGTTATTTCCAACTGTATTCCTTGTTGAAGTTCTTAATGTCCTAAGTGTTGATAAATAAACTATGGAACCATTAAAGTTTTATGAAAAGATGTGCAAATCTTTGCAATTAATTATAATTAGATAGAGAAAATTGAATGCATTTTTTTGCTGATATAAATATTATCCATTCTATTGTCTGCAAATATTCACTGCTCTGCCTTCTTAAATTTCAATAGATTTTATTCTTTTTGAGGACAAATATCAATTTTAATGTTCATTTAGAAAGTTTTTATCACTAACATCTCGAGCTTTCCATGATTTCAGTGATAAAGCATATTCCTTATTTAAGTTTCAAAAACTATGGTAATAATAATGATGAAATTTGAGAATTTCGCTTGTTTACTTCTCAAACGTTTTATCATAAATGCTTTTATTTTTGTTCTCTATAAATACCTTTTAAATTTTACAGCGAAATCAATCGCTCAAGTATTTAATAGTTTGCAGAAATTTGAAGAAATCGCTAAACGAGGAAAAACTTTGGCAATAATGACTTTTGGATCATTCGTTAATACAACTGCAATGCCCAAAAATTGGAAAAATGCCTTCTTAAATTCTTTCAAGTAATTTTCTTGTTAGATTAAAAAAAAATCTTGAAATCATTGGCCAAATCGTTCGACCATAATTTAATAAAAATTACAGAAAATTCAAAGAAATAGAATTCATCGTTAAATACGCAGGAAACGATCTCAATGAGCAAATATCAAGTAATGTTCATTTAGAAAAGTGGATTCCACAAAGAGATTTATTGCGTAAGTCAAAATTCTTAAATTTGCCACCAGCATAGGCTCTCCACTCTCCTCACCAATACTATCATCGGATCGTGCAGTAGAGGATAAAATGGCTCAATGGATTATTTCTCATTTCGGCAAGTCGATATTGAGGCTTTAGGCCAGCGAAGACCTTCCCTTCTGGGAGTTGCTAACGACTCGTGTTTTATCGTCAAATGATTCTCTGGCAAAAATCCCACACGCAAACCAACTAGTCTAACAATGATAAGCTGTTAGAAAAAAATCTTATTATATTCCGTTAGGTTCTCTCAATTATATCCCTGCATTTTAAAAAGAAAAGGTCAGAAATTGCTACCAAATTTAATTTACATTTCTACCAAGTATTTATTAAGAGAACGAAAAAACACGAATTTTCATAACTCATGGCGGTTATAATAGTGTTCAAGAAGCGATACATTCATCAACTCCAATGATTGTTATACCATTATTTGCTGACCAGTTTCTAAATGCTCGATTGGCTGAGCATCATGGAATTGCATATAAAATAAATAAAGGTAGAGTATCAGAAGAGGCAGTCACCTCTGCTATTAAAACAGTCACTGAGGATAGAAGGTATAATTCATCGGCTGATTTGCGCAACATTCATAATTCTTCGCTCTTCCATTTCGTATATTAATTTTATTATTAGCAATTCAGCTGGATGAGGAAAAAATCCTTTTCTTCCCTTCTCACCGCTGTGAGTGGTATGGGTCATCCTTAACTTTTATTCTTCTTCTTTGAATTTACACCACTAAAAAATTCAGCCAAAATGTGACTTATTGTCGTTAGAAGGGTCACAGTAGAATAAATTATTGGGGATTTTCGGCAATTCGACTTGCCTCTTCTACTGGTTCCATAAATCAATCCGAAAAGAATGTAAGCTCTAAAATATCTAACTTATTATATCTAACTAACTTATTATGAAATATTACTGCCTGATTTTATACAATATTTGTCACAGAAAAATAAAATCTTATCCAAAATTGTATAAATCATGGTTTATAATCATAATTTTAATATGTTTATAATATTTAATTTTATTTTAGTTACGTAGAAAAAGCGAAAAGATTGAAAAAAATGGTGACAAGGAAACCATTCAAAGGGGAAGAATTACTAATTAAATGGACCGAATTCTTAGCTGAATTTAAAAGTTTGGACAATCTCGTACCGTATGGAACAAAATTAAATTTTATACAATATTTTTCGATTGACGTTATAAGCGTTATTGGATTAACGATAATAATAATTTTATTTATTATTTATAAATTAATTATGGTAGTATTGGCGTTATTAAAAGAGAAATTTCTTATGAAGAAGGAAAAAATTCATTGAAATTTAGGAAATTTCTTTTTTATTCGCTGAAATCGGGAATAAATATTTTTTAATCCTATCGATATTCTTCTATTTTCATTTTCTACTTTTCTACTTCTTATAACAGCGCACATCACTTCAACATTAGTCGATTTTATTTGTCACTGCAGTTGGGAAATGGGCCCTCTTGCTTTAGAGTCACTTGGTGATAGTGGTACAGGTCCTCCTCAGGAGTCCTCCTCAGTAGCTCATTAGATTTTACTATTATTATTGTTTACTCAGATGTATCATTAGAATTTCACATAGATATCCATAATTTTTAACAAAATTATTAAAAATAAACTTAATAAATTTATTTATAACTTTATGAAAAAAAACTTCAGAATTCCATCAGAAATTTAAATTCTGCTAATTCTTCTAAAAATTTGTTTATAAACTGAAAAACTAATTATTTTAAAGGTTTTCCTAGAGGAAAGAAAAGAATTTTCATTGTGGAATATTGTTTATCAACCATTTATGCGAAAAAACGATATACATTTTAAAATCAAATATTTTAAGATTTTTTTACAGTTTCTATGTTTTTCTTAGTTTTAATTTTACATCGAAAATAAGTTTCATTATCAGTAATTTACATGGAATAGTGGTAGCACTTGGATTTTTTAGAAATAATTCTCGATGGCAGTATAAGCGAATTGAACCTCGAATAGATGCTCGACTAACAACCATATCACTCGGCCATTCCTATCCATATAACTGTGGTGAACTCAAAAAATAAATCATTTTATCCTAATTCAAACTTCAAAATATTACAGTTCATAAAAATTAATAATCTAAAAATTTCATAATAATTAACATTAAACAAAATTTCGTGTTGGCTAATGAGACCTTCTGCGCATAACTGCTTGCGCGGTAACGGTAACGGTTGCTTGCCAATAGTAAATGGTCAGGTTCATTGCATAGTGCATGACGACAGCAACAATAACTTAATTGATCTAATCCATGCGTTCTCTGAAATTTTTATGGCGATGAGCAACAAAATACTCGCCATGGAGCTTCTTATTTGATAAAAATTTTAAGAGCATACAAAAATGCATCCTCTATCACCGATTGATTCAGTTTGTTCGCCACAGTTCACTGGTGGATAAAATTTATTTGCGCAACCGTATGTGACTAATGTCGGAGCCTTATTGCCATGGACGATTCTACAATATAAACAATTTCAAATGTTAACAAACATCACTCTAGGCAGATAAACTAAACACAGTCATAACAACGAATTTTCAATTTCAATTAAGAAAAATGAATTTTGCTTTATTTCTATAATAGTTCAAAACTTGAAAATTTGAAGCTACTTGATGGCGCACCACTGGCCAAGAGATTCTCCTCGGCAGTCATCTATCACAATTCTATTCTTATCGCCAAGAACCGAAGTTCCTAAAATGGTCACTGATAAGCATAGTGATACTGGATGGATAAAATGATTACTAAAACCATATATTTTTATTTTTTCTGGTTCTGATTCTTTTGGCCTGACATATGCCTTACTAAGGCATATTCTTTACAAAAGAGATGGATAAGGAACCAAAAATATAGATTGGAAGCACTAGTTGGATTCCGCTCTTAATATCTTCATTCGAGAAACAGAAATAGAACGCACAATCTTCGAAAAAATATTATATTCTTGCTGCCTTATAACTCTTATGGTTGCAAAACGTTAAGAGTGGAAAATATGAGGAAGCTTTTACTTTTGCCCATGCCTGTATATTCATACTTGCATGGATAAAAACCATAAATGAGTATCTTTGTTCAATATGTGTTAAAAAGAATCCATATGTGTTAAAAAGAATCATTACCGAATGTCGCCTACACTGGTTAAACTATGTTTTTCGATTCTTATCACAAGAATTAATGCATATCCCTCTACATGTTCAAGTAAAGATGGTATTAAAGCGTGAAGGTCCAATCAAGATCCAGACATGAGCAGAATTTCGCGCATATAGTTGACCCAGCTATCTATGGACTTGGGCGATAGGAAAAAACTGACTACAGCTAATTTCGTAACGTTAAGGGGGCTTGTAAACGTCAACGCAGCCAGCTAAACCAGTAATGCTGCAAGCTATTAGAACGATACATCACTAGTAAAGGTATTCATTTGTACCGGTTCACATGGGTTAATTATGAGTAATTAATGAAAGGGCTCTTTTCCAGAAAAAAAAAAATTTCGCTGACCACTAAAACATCGTGCGGAAGGTACTGAAGAGCACCCACTGCAACTGTGGATTAAATATATGACGTAGAATGTGATTATTTGGTTTTCATGCATATATCTGAAGGACAACATAATTTCCGGATCAGGAGAGAATATTATTGCATCGTAGATGGATAACAACACTAAACAAACTAATTTTAGCAAACGATACAATAGAATTAAATTTGGTAGAGAAAATAAACAATGGATAGATTCGAGCATTCTTTAGATGAAAATGAATAAAAATCTGAAATCGATTCAATACGAGCCCGTTACTGGAAATGGAACTAAAGAGACACTGGATCACGATTACTTGACGATTGAATGTCGCTTCATTTCAGGGAAAGAGCAACTTGAATTCCACTTCTTTCCTTTGATGAAGGAGCATGTCATTAGTGAAATCTATAAATTTGGAGATATTTTATAATATTTTCTGCCAAAAAGGTCTAATCTGGCACACGGAGCTAAAAATGGTGCTAAAATAATGGTTCCTGAGGATCACCTTAAACTCTTAAAAATTATGAAGATCTCATAAGGGTTTTGATCATATCTATCTTTCGATATTTGTTAGAAATTGGATTTCTAAGTGTACCGACAAATTTAATAAATTAAGATTATGCGAAGAAACTTGCAGGAAACTTTGGACTTGCTTGCCTCAGTTCTTCCCGTACAATGATTCTAGCGATGCCTTAAAAAGTAGCAAAACTTTGCAGAACAAATTAGAGAAAATATGGGAATGTTAAGAAGAAAGAATGAAAAAATTTGCATTCAGAATGCATTATTGAGGGATTTGTCTCATGCAAAAGTAAACATTTAATTCGTCGATGAAATTTTCGAATGTTCAAATATTTATCAAAATTTTATAAACTTTCGATAAATCTAATAAAAATTAGTTTTTGACATTTGCAAATTGTCATTTTATTTTAAAAAATGTGAATGAAATCGAAAATGTCCCCTTTATTTCTTAACAAATTGTAAGTATAAAACTGATGCGGCAACAATCACCGCCGATTTTACTGGCTATGAGTGAAAATGAAAAGTTTAAAAGTTCCTTCTGTTGCAATACCTGAAAATAGCTAATTAAGCCACTGGTGATATTGTTCGCAAAGCGATAATTGCACATCTTATCCTTTTTTAATTTATACGCAGATCAGGCAGTTAGAATTGACCACTGTCAAGCACAATATCACCATTTTTGCTTCTGATAAGACTCTATCTTATTGATTATTATTAATCACTGTTATCTCCCCCATTACTATTGGCTATTACTATTGCTGTTATCGTTATTATTAATTATCATTACCGCCGTTTTTTGTTATCATTATTAATTATCATTTTATTATTTTCATTGTTATCATTATCATTATTAAATTGTTATTTAAATAAAAACGAAATATTGTATATGTTTGCACCGCAAAAAATCAAGGCCGCGGCGTTGTTTAACTCTGACATAAACGATATTCTGTTGTAATCATCGATAGGGTCGGTAATACGTCGGGCGTGATTTGCGAGAGTATGTTTGTGGTGGCATTGGCGGTGTAGAAGGTGCATGGCTGTACGGTTGTAGGCTGTGTATATACTCACCATGTGAGCTGTCTTGGACCGCTGTGTTGGCGGACTTCTGCTCACATTCTTTTCTTTTATTCTCTTTGAGGTCCTTGCATATATTTTAATCATATTTATCAACATAATATCAGAAAAAAAGGAATTTCGAATGTCTCAAGCGTTTTTTTGGGTAATTGAATTTACTTTGCAAGCTTTTTGGTGTTTATGCTTCATAAAATGATAGATTTGCTTGTTTCGCCCCTTTTTGACATATTGTGTTTGGGATGGGGCAATTTTTAAAAGTTTTTCTGGCGCCAAGCATCATTTTCTAAGATTATGTTTTTAATTTCTTCTGAGACTTCTTCAGAAGAAGAAATAATCTTCGTTATCCATAAGCTTAAGACTCCTTAAGCTTAAGGAAAAGATGATCTTCGGGCTGAACTCTTCAAATATTGCCCATCGTCCTTCATAACGCGCCTTCAACAAATGTATCTCTAGTATGGAAAAAAGAAATATTACCAGATGATTGGAGCAAAGCAATTCTGCTTTCCAATTCTCAAGAAAGGTGATAGGACATGCTGCGAAAATTATTGAGGAATCGGCCTACTAGACGTCTCACCGAAAATTTTTGCTTCCATTTTACTCAGCAGAATTATGGAAGTACGGGATGCGCCCTAATCAAGCTGGATTCAGACGGTGGCGCGGTTGTGCTGACTAGATATTCACATTAAGGAGAGTGTTGGAACATCGCTTCAGATATTTCCAACCCATTATTACGTATTTCATCGATTTTGCGACTGCCTTTGATTCAGTTGATATAGCGGCGCTCTGGAGAGTGATGGAACGGTGTTCCAGAGAAAATTTCAGATAAAGGCATTTTATGAGCGCACGTCGGTGCAGGTGCAGGTTTATATAGGAAATTGATAGACTCCTTCGAAATAAGAACTGGTATCCGTCAGGTGCTGGGTCCTTTCCCTTGCAGTATTCAATTATGCGATAGACTTGATAATGGACACCGCTTATCGGCACTCAAGAGGTGTATAAATCAATCCAGAACATAGCATCACAGATCTCGAATACGCTGATGGTATATTCCTTTTTGCTGATAAAATTGATGAAATACAAATAATGCTAAATAACTTATCAGCAACAACAGCGAGAATCGGATCAGGATCAATATAAATAAAAGAAAAGTCTTTTCGACTTATATACAAAAAGCTGATAAAGCTGAAGAAGCCTATTTTTATAAACTCACTGGAGAAGTGCTCTATTTTAAATACCTTGGATCCACTGTAATACCCAGTGGCCAGGCAAAAGACGCTATTATAACAGGGATAACGGCAGCCAGAAATTTAAGTTTTTTAAGTTGACGAAACTTTTATGGAGCCGTCGTAAAATCACCATAAAAACGAAAGTCCCCATCTACATAGCCTCGATTCGTTCAATCTTGCTATATGGCTTCGAGGTATGGCCAATGAGAGTGGACGATATTAAGAAGTTATGCCTTTGACCACTCTTTCTAAGGTACATATTACGGATCTGTCGAGCGGATAAGATATCACATGATCGCATCCATCTTCGTTCAAATACCACTTGCATAAATAATGTTATTACAGAGCTTTCGCTGGTTAGGGCACGTTCTCCGTCGTCCACCAGAGGAGTTGACACATATTTCGTTACTTACTGAACCTTGTGATGAGTGGAAAGGGAGCAGGACCAATCAAGACCTGGACTGATTCGATCCGAAAAAATTTTGAACGTATAGATGGACCAGGAATATATGGATATAGACGATGGAAAAAAGAGTGACTTTTATACTATCGACGATGGCATCAGACCGTGCTGCTTGGAAGCGTCTTATCCTTATAGCCGTTGGAGCCAGCCTAACCAGTAATGATGAGAGCTATTAAAAGAAGAAGAAGAATTTCTTCTTTTCTTTTGAACTGAGTCTTAGGGGAGTTATTCATATTTCTATTTTCAGTTTATCCTCACAGTGATAATGCTGATGGATATGATTTAGTAAAAATGATTTAGTATAAGTTTAGTGGAAATTTATCGGGCGGATGATTCTTAAGAATACGGATAGTCGACTTCGAGTTACCCAAATTTATTTTTCGTTTGTTTCCAAGGAAAAAAAGTTTTTACGAATTTTAATTTTTCTAATGTTTTATATTTCATTCGCATTTTGGGCGATTTTTTTCTACTTTTTTCTACTTTTTTTCTTTTTCTTTATTTTTTTAATTCTTATAACTCAAACTGTTTGTAAACGTTTTTTCCTGAAAATTAAAAATTTCCCACTAATTTGTTAAAAATATTTTTTCTCTACAGAATTTATCAAAAATATTTTGGCATTTACCTTTATTGTTACTTACCTTTTATAAATAAGTTCACGAAATGGAATTTCTATATTTCTAAATCACGAGATTTTCAAAACCAAATTTGGTATTGTCTGAATTTGTATTGTAAAATTCAGTTAGATCAGAAAGAAATTCAGTGAGTTTAATATATTTATAGAAAATTTTTCCAAATATTTCCGAAATTTTCCAGTGGTTTTCGGTCCGCAATAATTGTCATATTTAGCGTTTTGCCAAAAAATTTATATGTTGTTCATTTTTCATCTTTTAAAAATTTTCATTTTGCCATTTCATATTAGTAAATTCTGAAGCAAACATCGGAAATTTATAAAAAAGCGAAAAGGTAGAAATAATCAGTCGTGAAATGTTATCATTATTTGTGATTTGGTTTATTATGCTTTCATTTTGTTGACTTATAATATTTTTACTTAGCTGATATTGTTTAAATAATCACTTCGATAGATAATATTATAAATTATTTCTAACTACTTCTTTGAACATATATTATCAGCCAACTGGCTTTAGGTGGCTTCATCGATTCCTAAACAAGAGGAAAGTTGCTTCAGCTCGAATTTTACTCTTAATGGCAAATTTATTGTGTCCAAAAATAAGGTGTTTGAGATCCATTCGCAATTAATAATCTTTATAATATAATATTTTATAAAGGGAATTTTTCCAGATATAATAGTTAACGAAATGAGTACAAGAGATATGCATTCAGTACAGCAAGCTCTCAAAGTAGTTGAACAGTTACGGCGTGAACGAAATATTCGACGTGGCGCAGTTTCAGCTTCTATTAAAGATTTAATCCGGTAATTTTTATTTATTTTTTTACTATATAAAGTTTTATTAACTACTGGTATATAAGAGAAAGTTTTCGGTCTTTATTGTAACTATCTGCTTGTAATATAATCGCGAAAAATTGAGATCTTCTTTTTGCTTAGCAAATTTTTGTGAGGGATTCCATTGAATTAGCTCTCATTTTTAAAATTTTGTTCAAATTTAAGATGGAAAAAATGTGGGAAGTTTATTTTTTATCTTAACGGATCAGAAAAAAATCAGATTTCAAAATTTTCAAAATTTTTGCCAGAAATTAATGATTTCCATTTCCAAATCAGTAGTAATTATATGAAAACTTTACAACTTTTATAATTTCCGAAATTCCAAAGTTTTTGCCAGTTTAATGTGCAATTTATTTATTTATTTTTTTCAGCTCGTTTGTTTTAATATTTTATATTACTTTATGTTTAGGTTCACTCAGGACTATCAACGAGATGATGTTTTGTTAACAGGTTTCCAGAATGATAAAATGAATCCATATCGTCCGAAAAGTTCTTTTCAATGTATGCTTCTTTGAGAATTTTATCGCTACAAAAAGAAATGGTCGTCGTTGTGGAGCCGTTATCCATTTTATAAATTTTAAAAGATATGGTTTCAATGCAGTTCTTTGTTGCGGATTATTATTATTATGAGCAAAGGCGATGTTTTTTTGGATGAGAATTTTAAATACAATAATTTAAAAGGATGATAAGCTGTCATTTTATTTTCTGATTTTTTCTTCCATTAATTTGTTTGAAATTTCAACTTTATTAAGGTCCATACTTTGCAAATTATCAACTTTTTCAAGCACTTTTTTATTTCTTCTTTACGTTCTTCGACATGTTTTACTAAGTTAAGAGTTTTTTTTTAATATATTAAACGAGAACACTGATTATTTATAGTCAAGCTTATTTTACATTTATCTTTTTTTTTTCTTTTTTATTTTGGGATATTTCGAAATGTTTCTTAAGGTGATATATTCACCTTTTTTAAAAACCATGTCGGTGATGTGATAGTAGCACGCCACATCGTATCTTCAATCGACGTTCATGGATGAGCATAAATATTAATTTTTTGTTGCTTTTCTTTTCTATAAGAATAAAAATTGACATACATTTTACAGATGCAATATTCACTTTTATTTTAACTTTCCAGTAACAGTCTCCAAAACTTTCTCTTGTAATTTGCTTAAGTGCTTTGCATGTTTACTTTTATTTTTAATTTAATTTTAAGAGAATTTTTTATCCTTGTCGCTTTATTCATTTAATTTATTCGTTTAATTTTATCTTTTATCTTTTTTTTAGCGAATGTCGTTGGTTGCGTGCTTCCATGAACGGTTTTCTTCCTCTTCTCTACTTATTCACTTCACCGAATTGGAATGCAGTATTTACGCTTTTTTTGCTATGTAAATGCCTTTTTGCTTGTTTGAAAGCGTGATTATTTCTTTTTGGTTCTCAGTTTATAAAATAAATTTTCTCGAATAAATCCCTGTGAATTTGCAATTTTTACTAATCGCTGCATTTGTTAATATAATAAAATTACTATTGGAACATCGGTATAGAATGAATTCTGATTTTTTTAGTTTCTTGGTGTCATTTGTTTTGCTTTTCAGTGTTTCTCTATAAAGGTTTGTGTCGGCAATTCGTAGCACTTAAGGGGAATTCGAACACTTCGAAGACGATTTTAGTAATTTCATGAAAATTTTCATTGAATTTTCATGAAATTCTTCCTTTACCTTTTTCCTTCCAAATTGCCCCAATATTTATTCAGTCATAATTCTTTGTTTCAAAAAAACAATGTATGCATGTATTTTTTTAACCAATTATTTTTATGTAGTGTTATAGCATTTGCATTTTCATTATTATTGCATTTGGATTGACGGTTGCAAATTGGCTGAGCTTTACTTAGAACTCTAAGCTTTATTACATAAAATGCTAAAAGTTTTCTAAGAGAAAAATGATTTTAAATATTAGTGGCACAAGAATTGAGTAGATTTAAATCGTCGGAAAGCTTTAATTTTAAACTATTTTGCTGCGAAATATTCATCGCGGAAGTAGATAATTATTGCTGCGAAATTTTTCTTCCATTATACGTTTGTGATAAGATGGTCTAGTAAAATGGAATAAAATTTGCTGATAAACAGTTCGATATGTCGACGAATTTGGTTTGGTGTTTGGTTCCTCCATTTTATACCATTGATAACATATATTATTATCAATTGTTCCTCCAAATAAGAATAAGATTTTCATGTAAAGAATCGGTAATGCACACCACAAATAATTGACTAAATAATTTTGGATTATTAATAGAAAACAAACATCTGGCAGTAATGCACAAAATGATAGACTCATTTTCGAACTGAATCTGAGGTTAACTTCATATGAATTTAATACAAATTTGAAAGATGCTGGTTTGCTCTTTTAAGAGAGAGGATCACAACTGAAATGAATCGACTATCTCAATAAATGCCGCAAACTAAGCCAAAACTCTGGTCCAAATAGCATGTGTTGCTGAGGCATTTTTAATATTAAAACTTTTTAAGATATATCGAAGAAAGTGGAAATTTTCCAGGAAAACTGTGTTAGAAACTATGATGTATGAAAATTTATTCTTTTATCACATTTATAAATTTATGCAAATTTATTTTTCTTGTTGTTTTAGTCGAAAAAACAAGAAAAATAAAGTCCAGAACTGGATGAAAGATGAATTTAACCATCAATTTATGCTCGAAATGGAAGAAACACAGGAAAAAAAACTGTTGATTGCAAGCTTGGAATAAATTTAATAAGACAAATAAGAGAGATATCGGAGAAGGAAAGTGAATAAAAAGTGGCTGAATTTCTAAGCATTTTAACAATTTGATTTTACCGTAAAAAATTCCTCCGGGGATTAGCTTTCTTGGTGTTTTTGGAGTTTAATTTTGCCTGAAAAAACCATTATTTATTTATGATTGTCCAACTACGTTATCGCAAATTATATCTCTTAAAGAAATACTTTACAAATTAAAAAAATATAGGAAAGACTAGTTATGCTCGAGTGCTATATTCTTTCAACTAAAATGAAGCCATTATAGGTTCCATTCGATTCCTGGCGATGTCGAATCTGTCTTAGAAGTGAAATCCAGATAATGGTGGTACCCGTCGCTACTACTGAGTGATTTCTAATCTCGTCTTAAAATTTGATTAGGTCGGCCAGACCAGAAATTGTAAGTGCGGTTAGAATAATAATATGAATAGAAATTTGCCTTAAACTCGTCAAATTAATTGTCGAAGCAAAAATAAGTAGGAGAAAATATTAAATATATATTTATAATAAATTTATAATAAATATAATTTATAATAAATATATTTATAATAAATTCTGCTCGGATAAAGTTGAATATTTAATGGCCCTCTTTACTTTTTTTGTAATTTATCTTACTTTTATTTATAATGTTTGTATTGGTGTTTCCTCGCTTGCCTTATCCATTTCGCTATAAATTTCTTCTCAATTTTTCGAGCACGTTTTATTGCTTTAGTATCCAATTCGTGTTCACCACGCAAATCGTAATGATGAGCAGCATCCTTTTAATTAATGTTTATTTAAATTTATTTGCTAAATTAAGGTAAATTATGATGAGAGAAATGCATGGACAAGGATAGTATTAGCGATGAAGAAACGAGATGTTCCAGTCTACAAATCAGCGGTGTTTAGATACCCCATCAAAAAAGGAGCGCACTGAGGGATTCGGGGATTATTAAGAAAGTAAAAAAAGCATTGAGATAGCATTAATGGAGACACTGAGGGAGATAATTTTTTGTGCAAAGATCTATCTGAATGTAGACGAAATATGATGTAAATTAATGAAAGATCGTTTGGTGAATTTTTAAATTTTTAGATTAAAGAGTAGAAGAAACAATTGAAATTTGGAAAAAAATGGGTTGAAAGGAAAGGAAATACCTACTGGAATTATCATCCCAATCAATGAAGAATCACTTGTTTTATGGCTCGGTGACCAACCGCCGCCAGACCATGGATCAAGTTCACCATTACTTTAATAGTTGTTTTTTATTGATATTATTATTAAGATAATATTTACGAAAAAAGAAGATCGCTTTTTCTAATGCACAGAAAGTTTGAGAGCTTGAAAATTAGCCATAAATAAAATAAATATGAAAATGGTTGACGCTCAGTATTTCTGGTTAGGCTCCGGCGTCTACGGTTGAATTTTTATTAGGAAGGCAATGCATAGGTGGGTCGCCAGGACCACTCGTATCGATTAATAATATGTTCTTGTTAAAGGCAAGAGGAATGAAAGAATGCCTATCAACACGGCATTATGAAGCACTTTACACATTGCTTATTGTGTCACTAATGGTGATAATTACCATGAAATAAATCCTTAAAATTTATTAATTTTAGGTATTTAGCGCTTAATTAATCAGAAATAAAAAGTTCTTTAAAGATGAAGCGAAATTTTTGCCTTACAATGGCGTTAAAACGCTTATATTCATAAAGGCATTATCGGCTAAAATGCCAATTTTGTTTTTGATTCTAAAAGCAGTAAATGCAATGTAAAGGCAGTAAATCGCGGAATAACTAAAGAAGTGCCTTTTGGAATTGCGGAAATTAAAACTAAAGTTCACATTTATGCTGCTGAAGCGTTGTATATAACTATAAAACACTGTAATTGTACCAATGGAGCCAATAGAATCTCCTGTATCTATCGTTCATTTGAGCTAATAGTAGCACACGGTAATTATATGTGTGCTTTACAGGAAAAAATATAAGTGCGAAGTTTTTAGTCGTAAGCTTGTAGACTTGTAGATCCAAGCATAATCTGGACTAACATGGTTAGAAGAAATTAACAGCGATACATTTGACTATCTGACCATCTTTCTATGTCATCGCATTAAATGGCTTGTAAATGCTCATCTTTCAAATATGTCATCGCATTAAATGGCTTGTAAATGCTTTATCTTTATAGTTAGCCAATGATTAGGTTAGAAAGCCTAACCAATAATGATTTGCGCTGTTAGAAGAAGTAAATGAAATAAATAGCAATTGCCACAAAGTACCAATGATTTTCAATCTTTTTAAGTTCAAATATTAATGAAAACATGAACAGCGTCTACTTATTTATTCATTTAAGCAAGAAGAATTTACCTGAAGACAATATTACTGGCAGTTGGAAAATGATCACCATAATTATTCGTAGCCCACATAGGCCGGAGAAGTCTGCTAGAATAACCGATTTTTCCGAATTGATTTTCGCACTGTTTGGCAATTCCTGTAATTTTTTATAGTTGATTCATATTATTTAACATGGAAAATAGCATGAAAACATAAATATCAACGAATGTCCTCGCTCATCCATTATAATTTATTCATAATTTTTAACTTCATTCATAATTTTTTTATCCCAAATGATAAAATAAAATATATTTATGATTATCTTAAAAATAAACTTCAGAACTAGCAAAAAATTTTCTTGAATTGAAAACCCTAACTCAACACCATTAATGAACGCTATTGATTAATAAAGTTATGAAAGTTATGAACGGTAATAAAAAAAAAGGAAAAATAAAATATTTCAAAAATAAAATATTTTAATATTTTTTGCTTCAAAATATCCGTAGATTTAAAAAAAGCAAAAGATATAAAAAGTTGCAAAAAAAAGTTTGGATGAAATAAACCTTGCACTGTGAATGGACAGTTCTCTTGGAAAAAGTCATTCGGTAATCCACTGGAGCACATTTGCATAACCATTTCTGTGCAAACCTAAACTAATTGGTGTAACACTAAAGCCTTTAATATTAGAAATTAATAGAATTTCGCATAAAAAGCATCCTTTCTGAAGGATGTGAGGATATGATAGGATTTTCGGTCCACTTTCATTTTATATTCTGCTATACAGATTGTAAAGCAAAACTTTAAATAATATTGAAAATTAACCAACCAACCTGCCATGACCAACTAAGTCCACCAAGTACATCGTCTGGATATTCACATACGTTTGGATTGATGCAAAATGATTCTGTTTGGCCAGTATAATTATAAAAAAGATTGACTACTGAGTACAATGCTTTTGCGAGTTGCTTATCAGTAGTTGCTCCATCAAAATAACCACAGGCAACCTATTTATGAAAATCGTTAAAATTGTCTTGTAGAATATACAATATTTGAAAAAAATATAAAATTTTAAAGTTTTTTTTCGATTTATAACTTAATTTCAAATTTCTGAATTTTTTGATGAATATTTTCAAATTTTTTCTTTTCATTATTTTTTATTTAAATTTTTTCATCCTAAATCCACATTTTATTTTTTCAGAAATCAGCCTTTTAGAAATAGAATTCATAATTGAAATCATTTACTTTAACCGGCCAGCCTGGAATCGGTTGGAGAAAATTGGTTGGATATGGATAATTAACCATTGCCATCGTTTCAAATACATCTCGAATAAAAGATTTAAGATAGGCAACATCTCTCTGATGCGCCATTTCCGATTTCTTGTCTATATTGAACAAAGCATTCAGATAATTCAGACCACTTTCTAAAAATTATTATCAATCGTTTATATGAATTTTTTTTCGGATAAAATTGTTTTGTTGCTGAACTTCAGCTGAAAAAAATTTGTGAAATTTGCGTCTTAAATTTTGTCATCTTCGAGCATTGTTATCGTCAGTTCTATTATTAAGGAAATTCAGAATCAGGATGCATATAATATAATATAGTAAGTAAATTAAAAATTCATCTACCAGTTTTGGCAAGTTGGTCCAATGAATTCCACGAAGAAAACACGACTTTAGCATTGCAACCAAATTTAACAAAAGAGCGTGTTACGATCCGATCATAAATATCTGCAGGCACATCGGTATTCGGAAACCAGAATACAGGAGCACTGGAGGCGATTGCTCTAAAAATTTCGGAATTACAATCTCCCACCAAAAATTATTCAAGAATTCAAAAAGCTTTTAAAGTACTTGTGCAAAAATGTTAAAACCAAGTACAAATCATATTTTTCTTACTTGCATAACGTGCGGCTCAACTGGCAAAATCTAAAATATTTGAAACCTTTGAAATCAAAAGAATCAGAATTTTAAAAAAATTTACAAATTTTGCTATAGTGCGCAGTTTTGTGATAAGGTTAGGAAATTTGACCAGTGATAATGAAAGAATACCAAAACTGCCTATGTCATCTATTCCTCTGCATACTTCCCCTATCTATAATATTTTATATCCACCTTCGCTCGCATACTATGTGCATCAATGTAATCGTTACGGAGCCTATATTAGTTAAGTGATGTTTTTTGTAGTCCATTAGAATTGATGCACATCTTAAAAAATCAAAACTTATCATGAAAAAAAACTTATCAAAAGGAAAAAACTCATCAAAACTTTCGCCAGATAGAAGAAATCATTTCTAGCAGCTGGGATTTCTCCATAACTATATTCCATAACTAATCGATGCAAGAAAGAGTGGATCTAAGATATTTGGAAATTCAATTTTAACTGGTGATTCTTTTAAAAACACAGTTTTATTGTCGCCTGGTGGAGAATACAATTTCATCTTATGTATATTAATGTTGCTACAAATGTTTTTAAGCCTTCTAGTGCCATGCCTAAAACAGTCGAATACGGAAACAACTATCGGCACACAGCCCCATGCAATTCTTTAGAACTATCAAGAGGATCATCACCACTCCAATAGTATTCTTTCGAAATAAAAAAAAAAGTTCCAGAAGTGTCGTTAGTTTAGATTATTGAGTTATCTCGAAAATTTGGCTTAAATCTGCTTATACGCCAGGCAAACATCAGACACTTTTTCCCTATAATATTCAACAGTGTGGTGAACTGTATTACGAACTCGGTGTTTTCCGGCACTCAAGAGACTTCAAAAAGTCCAAAGCACAAAACTTTGAATATATTATAATATAGTCCTTTTGCTGACACTTGAGAAGAATTATTGCAAAGAATTATTGAGAAGAAAAATCATGAGGTGCAGCGAAGATCGAGATTAATGTAAAGCGGAAGAAATATTATATTATAAATGCAGCTCTGAAGAGGTGCCAATTTTTTAACATCTCGAATCCGCTCGCATACCAAATTGAGGAGCTTTAGGACAAAATTTTCGGTTGAACAATCAGTTTACGAGAAATATTTTGTAGTGAAAAATAAATTAAAAAAGTATATAGGAACGATACCCATCGATTATATGCGGGTATTTTATTCGAATCCAAGCCGCAAGCATTCCACCATATGAGCCACCAAATGCAATAACTGGTGAATGTTCTGCATTCGGAATTCTCTAAGAGATCATAAAATGGTTAATAGACTGATACGATTCGAATGTTTACATGCATTCTCTTTTTTCTTCTCAAAACAGAAATAATCTATTAATAGCTGGAATTACTCTTATGACAGAAAGGAAAAGTTGGCCAATTTTTATATTATTTTTTTCTACGCTTTTAAACTAATCCATGAACTAGTTAAAGCAAAAGTCGATTAACCTGTTTTTTAAGATACAACACAACGTCAATAAAGTCTGCTAATGCTTGCTCGGATGACAAATAACCAATATTATCCAGTTCAGTGAAACTTTTATTTCCAAATGGTAATGTCTTCCCATAGAATCGATGCTCTGCGAAAACAATGGCAGCGCCAAAGTTCTGAGCATTGTCCCACATGAAACCCTGCGGTAGTAATCCATTTAATATGACGAGTTGGTGTATAATTTTTATAAGAAACTTGCTAATAATTTAGAGTATAAAGCAGAAGTCCAAAGTAAAATTCCCAAACTTTTGAATAAACGGACAAACCGTATTTTGTGCGAATGCTTCAATATTGCCTTCGTTGCCTGTATAGAAGAAAATCGGTCCATTTGCAACAAAATTCTGCGTATTTATTAAATACCTAATTAGAAAGGGAAAAAATGTGAATAAAAAATTGCAAAAATTTCCGTCAAAAGTTTATGCATTATTCATTTATTGAAATGAAATTCATTTGATAATCAACCATACGACTAGTTTTTTGATTTCTTTCCATAAATTTTTTAAAGTTTCTTAGAACGGCTTTACAATAATATATAGTTGGGCAAAACCCGCCAAGGTATTGTAAAAAAGTGGATGAATGCTTTAAGAAAGATTTAAGAAGGATTAGAAGATATCCATGCTTTTACATGCCAACTATAGAAGATACGGTAGGTTTCCGAGGAAAAGGATAAATCAGAATTTAATTTGATTAATGAAGGCACAAGTTAAATGTGGCAATGAGAATATACCTGAGCGCGAAGGTACGATTATCAGTGTATGCAAAATGATCAATAGGCATACCGTGGAACCATTCCTCTTCCCACTCATATTCGACATTAGATATTCTCTGAAAATCGTAATGAAATCAATCCTAGCGGTGCCTCGCTATGTACCAAACTTTGTGGTGTATAATAAAGCAGCTTAAAACTTACCGAAGCAGTCCATTGATCTATTCTACCAAAAAGCAACAATTTACATCTACAATTATTTTTCATTAATTAATCTTTCTACTGTGTTTTTGTGGAATCTTTATATCTTTATATTATATTAATTTCAAATGATATCACCTGGGGATAGAATGGCTCAGTGGGTTGTTGCTCAGTTGAGAGCGCTGATGCTGAGGCTCGATTCCCGGCAAGAGTAAACCTGCACAAAAATCTGAGTGGTACTGGCGACTCACCTGCATTTCTATCGCTAAGGCACTCCCTGGTATATTGCTGAATGCGACAAACCAGTGGGGCGAGTTTAACCAATAATGGTGAGGACTCTTGAAAAAAAAGTGTTCTACTGTGTATACTGTGTTCTACTGCGTTATAATAGCTTTGTGCAGTCTTTGTACTATATTAACTTCAACATGATAGCATACGGTGGCACCGAAACCAAGTTATGCCCTTCTGCTACGAACCAATATTCTTTAAAGTCATAGTGCCGTTGAGTCGTTAAAACCCCTTCATAACCACTAAAACTTGTCATGTTTTTTGACTCCATTTCCGAACTCCATTGCCATATAATTTCAAACCTTATTCTGCCGAATGAACTCTTCAAACCAAGTTTTGGCTGGAGTTTATTAAAGTTACTTCCTCTTGTTTCATTAGCGTTCTACCAAATCTGTCTGCAGACCATTCCTACCACGACCAAAATTAAGTAAATGATAAGCGCTCATTATTTCTGGTCGAATTCGCTTGTTTTTTGTTGCTGCAGGAATTTTTGCCAAGGAACTGCTTGACAATAGGAGTTTAGATGTGTCTAGCGATAGGGTTGTCATAATTTTGCGGCCATCAGAAATAAGAATAGAATGCTTATCTCAGTGCAACAACCTAACCCTCTATCCACTTGCCTATCTCGCAGCTTAAATTTACGTATTAAAAAGCCACAAGCAGAAGAATATGGCGAAAACCGAGTGGTCTTAAGGTAAAATTATAAGGTTTGGAAGCGCAGCTAAGGGAATATGAGGGTAGTTAAGGGAATATAGAGGAAAGGTATGGTATGGTTCCATCCATCATATTCTTTCTCCATCACTCATTGGTAACCTCTGCTTCTTCTATCTTCTCAAGCCCGGTTTAAAGCCATCCGCCCTCACCTTGTCATCTTAACGCCTCGTCCAACCTCCCAGCGACTTTGGCCCAGTTACAAGCAAAATTTGAGGATGTTGAGAGAGAAAATTGCAAAATTACCAAGTATCAAAGCAGCACATCAGAGTCCGAAGAGGTCTTAAGAGACAGACCTTTAAAAAATATCAAGAATTACGACAAAGTTTGGAAATGATTAATCCATAGAAAGAATCTTTTTGCTAACACTGATTAATAATGTTGAAGAAATAATAAATGAACAAATATTTGAAAATTAATAAATTCATAAAATAAATCGACTATAAATTGAAATAGTTAGCTACCATGTTTTCCGCATCGCCTAAAGGATAAAGTGCTACGGGATCTCGGAGGAGCTTACCAAACACCAAATTAAGATTGAGAAATAAAACAATTATATTTGGTTGATTCATTCTTTGGACTGTCACCAGCGGTGATTGCTGAAAATTGTTATTTAGATAGAATAATTAAAGATAAATGAAGTTGATAAAACGACCTTATGAACATTATTGCTATGTAATATGTAATCTAAGTTGTGTGAACTTGTATAGGCAAAGTTTACAAGGCTCATCGTAAATCTCTGAATAACTGAAATTCGGCACTCCCTTCATTTAGCCACTTCAACAGGCAAGAAAAATCTTAGATTTTTTCATCTCATTGTTTTTCTGCTCGTAAAAAAAACGTTCAGCTGATCGTTTCGAGCGTCAAAATTCGGAATTCTGTATCCGAAGAAAAAACTCATTGAAAAATCCGGGTAGTGGTAGAGATTCTTTTTCATTTCGCAGATCAAGCCAGTCTCTGGCAAAAATTTCTAATTGTACCAACATACAGAAAGAGCCAAACCAAGGAGATGGTGACTAACGCTAATTATTTCTCTCGCTAAAAAATCTGAGTTCATGGGGGCAAAAAAAAGATTTAGCCAGAAATAGTTACTCAACCAAAGGGATTTATCATAATCAAAAATTAAAAATCTCTGATATAAACCAATATTTATTCATTCCACATAATTCGCTGAATTCGTGAGAATCCATGAAAATTGGTGATAAAACGACTAATGATGTGATAGGAATAAAAATTTACAATAAATTAACAATTAATGATAAAAACGCAGATTTGCGAAAAATCAACCATCAACGATTTGATAAGAATATAAATCTGCGAGGAAACAAGCAGTGATATGATATGATAAGAAGAAATATAAAATAAATATCAAAGGGAGTTTTATAAATAAAAACTGAAAGCGAGAAGACTGTTGCGCGATAATTGCATAATAAATGTACCATTTTGCATAAAATTCATAGAAAGTAAATGGACTGTAAATGGGAGGATAGGTCACATCAACTCAGCGCATCGAACTGTTCTAAAATTACTGTCACTTTCCATTTTGATGGAGACAAATGTGGCCACGACGCCGATTTGCTGTTGAACTGAGGCCATTGCTGCGATTCTCATTATTATCTCTCGGTTCGCGCTGTACTCCCTCCCATCTCTCCCTCCTGCTCTGTTATGCTGCTCCTTGCGTTTTCATAAATTGAGAATGTAGCCAAGGAAAGGGTGCACAATGAGATAGATTAGGGAAAGAAAGTGGAGTCTGTGCATCAAAGGAAGTTAAAGGGAACACGAGGAAATCTGCGATGTCGTCATTGCTTGTGGCGAAAATGAGAGTTTTCATGGGGTGTTAAAAAGCAAACGACGGGGTTTTAGGAGTTCCAACGACACAGGTCATGGAGAAATAAAGTGAAAACATGGCTTGAAGATAGGATGACGTTTTACATTTTTCTTCGAGGAAACATCGGAGGGAAAATGAGAGGAAGGGACGAGGGGAAAGAGGTGAAAAGAACATTGAATCGCTTTAACAACGGGCCGAGATTTCGAATTTGTGACTGTGGCCGCATTTCTTCATTTATGAGCAGATTGACTGTTGCATTAATAGGGTAGGGTGATAGTGGAAGGTTGGGTAGGTGATAGTGGTGCTAATTGTTGGCACCGTGAGGCTACTTTGGTTATTTCATTTACCGTGTGAAATGCAAAGAATGAAAAAGTTTTCAAATATTAACGAAGAAATTAATTAATTGGCTACAAAAACATTGTATGAACTAAAATTAATTATCAGTTATTCATTATTAAAATATCATTTATAAAAGCAGTTAACTAGAATAAAATTAATAAAAGAAATCGGGTAACGAAATTCAAATCAAAATCAAATTTTGGTTCCATTTTTCATCTCACTGTTATAAGAGGTGCATCGGTGGTTTAGTAATAAGGTGGTGGAATCGAGAACAACCCGGCTTCAGATCCGGCGAACACCCATGTTTCGTCTGTCAATCGCCATATGGCAAAAATAAAGAAGGCCAGTGAAAAATAAAGAAGTTGTTGCTCATTTGAGAGCGACCATGCTGAGGAATACTCCTTGCAGGGCAAAGCTATCACTTTCCTGAAAATCCTGCGACTCGTATATATTTCTATCGTCAGGTTACTCCCTAGCAAAATCCGACAAGCCAGTGGGCTAAAAAATTGGTGAGGGTTCATCGATAAGAGGTCATCGATAAGAGATTGAGTATAACAGCTGTTAACAGCTATTGCCCTTCGCCAATCGATAGATATTTCTCAAAAAAAAAATTCTTAAAAATATTTAATAATATAGAAAATTTATTTTTTTTGTTTTTTAATTTTTTATTTTCCTGGAAAACAACTTCAAATGATAATAAAATGATAAAAGATATCATACATGTAAGATATTTTTGAAGCACATATTATTTCGTTAAATATGATGACTAAGTGTCGAAAATTTTCAAATTAGCAAACAGTTCGAGAAAGTATGGACGAGTACTGATTGTTCCGACCACCCGGGATACGGTACGATTCCTGGACGATTCCTCGGGATACGGTTCCTCGACGAGAGTTCACTGAACCTTTCACTTAAAGCCGGACAATGGTCCACCGATATTCTCCCCAAGCGACTCGCTCGTTTCATTCTTATGGCCAGTTAGAAGCGACGGAATTAATAGTAGTGGGCGCTGTTTAGGAGAAAAAAATTATTAAAAATTCAAAATTATTAAAAATTTACTTTTGCTAAAAGCAGTCGAAATTTATTTATAAATTTTTATTCTTAGAAAAGCGGTTCGATTTTAAGCGATCTGCGAATTTTATAGAAAATTACGGAACATTTTCCGACAAAACTCGTATTTTTTTCTTCATTCTTTGGTGGAAAATTGAAAAAAAATAGTGATTAAGGCCTTAGCCAAGTAAGAAAAATGTGGCTACTATAGCATTCACCGTTTCTGATTGGGCTTTCTTCGCTGGCTATTAGAAATTTTTGCCACAAGTTACCTGACGGTAGGTGGTCGATGCTTGAATTTTCTTGATGACAAATCAAGGTCAGAGGTTCAGAGCTCTGATGTTAAACGCAGATGGAACAAGCATGCCATATGCCATACCTACCATTCGCTCCTCTTAAATTTATTCATATTTAAGCGGAATGACACAATTTTTTTTAGTTTGCATACAAAAACCGTTCGATGAAGAAACGAAAAACTGACAATTTAGAAGGACTATTAAGATTTAGAAATAAGCCGAAAAAGTCGACGCTTACTCCGATACAAGATTTATCTGAAGGCACTGATTTTGTTGCATGTCCAGCAACATTGAAGGTGATTCATATAAAATTCTTCTAATGGTACATTTCATATTCGGCTGATCCTATTGACTATTAGAGTGAGGCCTTGGCATCAGAGAGTCGATAGGAGTGCTGTGATAAGCTTTTGTCGAGGGGCGAAATAGAACTTCGTCTCATAACAATAGTAGTAGATATAAAATTCATGTTTAGTCATGAATGCATTAAGATCGCTATTTTACGTTTAATTTTTAAGCACAATTTGCAAAATCCTTCTAATTATATGATTTTTATCCATCCTATTATAATTTTCTTGAAGCATTATCACTCTTTCAATATTTAATTATCAATTTAAAAGAATATTTATTTGAAGATACACTTAATAATGAAACCTTACGAAAAACGGCGAGGAATGATAAAATCGAAGCAGTATTTTGGAAAGATAAGCAAAGGAATGCTGGAATTGTTCAGAAAAAAACATTCAAAAAGCAAAAAAAATGAATTCGACCCTAAATATACAATCGATTTGGCTGCCGTAAATCATTAAAAATTTTCTATTCTCATTATTCTAAAGTTTATCACTAAAATTAAATTACTTAAATTAGAAAAAAGTGGGATAAAAACAACTGCAACAATCGTATATCCTTAATGTGTATATATATCTAAGCTTAAAAAATCCGACTTTTTACTCTGAATTTTTTAGCAAATATTAGATGGGCGTATAGATTTCTTTCAAAAATGAATCCGAAATTTCAGATAAGTGGTTTCTGATAAGGTAGAACATTTGAAGAAAATTTAATCACTGACAGCAGTGATAAAGAATGAAATTGGTCACTAATTTGCTTGGATAATTTAATTTTTTTTGACACTTATTAATAACCAATACGAAAGATTTGTACTTAATAACTGTTACATGGAAATAAAACGAAGAAAATTTCAGATCAAACTCATGAGTGACGATGAACGTAAAAGAATGATTATTGCTTGTGGAACAGATTTGCGACAGATAATCCCAGCGATTGATAACGAATATGGACTCTTAAAGGAAAGTCTTCATAAACATCGTCTTTATCGTCAATTCATGATAAAAAGGTTAATTGTTAGTAAAATAACTTTAAGTAATCACACTTTGTGTGTAAAAAAGATACCAACCACTAAACAAGTTCTGATCGTATACGAAATACGAAATTTGATCGTATAGAAGAGTTAAAAATATTTCATTTTTCCTGATTCTTTTATGATAAGATAATTCAGATGATAAGATAATTTAAAAGCATCATTTTTCTTCCTGCTATCTCAAGAAATAAAGATGTTATTCAAATAATTCAAATAACCGATGAGTATGACAATATTTATAATTTTAAGCCCACTTAGAATTAAGGCTATAATTAAGTAAAAAAACTGTGGTTAGTGGTTAGTCGTTTCTCACTATTTGTGAATAGGCTCTCTCCACTAGTATGATGAGGAATTCCTGTTAATGCAGCCTCCGATAATTTCGATAAAATTTTTAATTATATTAGGATAAATGAAAACAAATATTAATTAATAAACTAATACGTAATGTTCTGACAATATTCTGATTCTCTTTTTCTAAGAACTCTCGGTTAAGCCCCACTGGCTTATGAGATAGGATAAATTTTGGTAGGGGTCATTTGGCGATAGAAGTGCAAGTGAGTCGCCAGCATTACGCGAGGGTCTTAGAACCTTAGTCTTGAGTCTTCAAGTGAATAGCAACCCAGTGAGACATACTATCTCTTATGATTAAAAAATTTTGATTAGAGATGTTAGATATTCTTAATGAGTGATCTTTTCGGCATTTTGATGAGGCCTACGGACGCTTACTTGTGAATATGATCTTATGAGTACCTTCTCAAAACAATGTTTTTAGATGCACAAAAATAAAATATATAGGAATAGGAATAAAATAAAGTAATGAACCTGGAATTGCTTGTTGAGGTCGAATTCTTAAACTGGGTTGACCATTTTTAGAAATTCAGCTTATTTACATAGCGATTTTGTAGGTCGCAAAATAAGGAAAAGAATAATAAAGTTCAAGAGGATTACAATAAAAGGTAATATTCTTTTAAATTGATTTATTTCTTTTCCTTTATCAGTTTTTTTCATTTCCATCGTATTTCGTCGGCTGTTCTTTGCATTGTGATAAATTTGGTTTATCTGACTAACATTTGACTTAAAATTAAATTATAATTCGATATAAGGACGAAAGGAATCGAACAAATCGCTCAGATTCATGAAAAAACAAAAATTATCGGGGAGGAGATCGATAATATACGCCTCGATTTAGGAGTAAGCTTGTCATTTACTTATTACTTATTTAAGCCATAATAAGTAATCATTTTAAAAGGTAATTTTTCTTCGCCTAACATCACCCATCATTTCTACTGCTAGCGCGCTGTTTTGTACATGGAAAAATAAACAAATTGTGCTCTAAGCATTACTTGGATCTCACTGCCTTATCCCTCAAGAAAGAATTGAACTGAACCATGATGAACTCTGATTTCAGTCGAAACAATCTATCGCTCAACCAACATTTATTTATATCCACTAAATATTTTTTTTCAGAAAATAATTAAATATTTACGAAGAGATTTAAAAGCTCGGGAACCACCTTCATCGGACGAAGCCAGTAATCTTTTCAAATATTCTTGCTGTATTTTACTGGGAAATTCTTTCAATTTGAAGATTTGTCGCTGTTGAACATTCCAAATAGTGATAAGTTATGTAATAATAGCGATATTAATATTTTTTAATTTTACTTTATATTCCATTCTGTTTTCACCATAATCGTAAGACTGTTACATAAGATTGTAGGATTGATTATCAGATTATCAACATCAGACTGATAAGTTCTTTTGCCCTGAAATCCTTTTTAGTAACATCCAATGCAAGGAATGCATTGAGTGAAGTCGAAGATCGAAAAAATGCAAAACGATTAAAAATGCAAATAGATGATGGTCAAACTAAGTAAGGATTTTGAGAATTTTAAATTAAATTCAAATATTTTCTTAAATTTATTTTCGTTTTTTTAATTATTAAAAATAGATTTTAAAAAATATAGCAAATAAATTAATTTCAGGAGAAAATCACCAAAACAAGAACCACCACGATTGATTTCATATGAAAAAGTTATGCCAAAAGTGAGTTGCATGGTGATATTATTTTATGTAATCGAGAAAATTAGCTTAAAATATGAATAATTTAAAAGAAATGAAATTGAAGAATTTTTTAGACATTAATTAAATTAATAATAGATTAATAAACTATGACATTTGTATTCTTTGTTTTTTACAGATAAGTATGGAAGAAGTCACGCCACCACCACCATCATCACCAGCACCATCATCACCACCGTCATCACCATCACCACCATTATCATTACCATCAGAAAATGTATCAGCAAAGACCTTGAAACGAAGAGATCGATTACCGAAAGCATTTGCAACTGCTAGTGAACAACTTGGTTACAGTGCACTGCTTGCTATCGCATGCAAAAAAATACCTATACCGATCAATTTTTTTGAACCTCTCAGTATATTGCAGGTTTCATAATGCTAATTTTATAAATTCATTAACATAATTAATGTTATTCACTATATTATTTACTGTGATATTTAGATATTTAGACTAAAGCACTTTAACATTTCGCAAAAGAAACGAATTGGATTCTCTGGATTTAAAGGGTTCAAAGGGTTTACGTTTGCTTTTATCCTCAAGTGATTCGCTGATGAATAGATTTCATCTTATATTGGTCAATAAAATTCGGAGAAGACAATAATTTGAGCATTAAATTATAGGTAATTTGTGAAGAACTATCACAGGCGGGGCCAATTCTAAGTAAAGCATTAGAAAGCAAAGACCCGCTTGATCGAATGGCATATGTAGCTGCATTCGCAATTAGTGGCTATTCGGGAATGTCAACTGCTCGCCGAAGAAAACCTTTTAATTCTTTACTTGGAGAGACCTTCGAATACAGCTCTGCTGATGGTTGGAGGTATCATTCAGAACAGGTAATATAGAAACAAGCGACATAATGATTTGCTTTTTGCTATATATTTATTTTTTTCTAAATCTATAACTGTGGAGGACATGGCAGCCTACAACTGTGCAATATCTCAATATCGGATAGTTTAAAATCTTTTATTGGATTAAAACCTTTCCTCGAAACTTCACCCGTTGCATCTTAATGAAACTTCGTTAAATATTCTCATAATTCAGGATTTCGTTTTTTGTGTACTCTTGCTGTAACTCAACGGCTATAACCATGTTTGTTCTATCAATTTTTATTCATCTCCCAGGCCTGAAAGATTGAGGGTTTTGCGCAGTTGTTCCTAATAGTGCGATCTTCTGGATAAGAGATTTCAGATATTGTTGTTTCTGGAACTGCTGAAGCCACTTTTCTAGTTTAGAGGTCACAGCACCAAGTGCTCCAATTACCACTGGAATTACTTCGGTCTTTATTTTCACGTCTTTTCTATTCCTCTTTCAGCCTTTGGTATTTCTCGTTGTCCTCTTTTTCTGACGTCCCTGGTATATCAATATCAATCATGGTGCTAATGCTAGTTTCTGATTCTTGTTCATTACCTCGATATCTGTTTGGATGGGAAATCCCACAGGATCTTCGCCTCATAATTCTCTACGATTTTAAATATAAATGTATATTATTAAACTAAACTTCGGGTAGTGTTGGCGAGCAACTATGTTATTTTGTATTTTTGTTGCCAAGTAACTGACTCCCAACAGAATTTATTTGCTTGGATAAGCCAGCGGAAAGACCAGAATCTAATCGGAAATGTTGCACGCTTTTAGAAAAAAAGTGGAACATGGTAGATATTTGCAATGTTGTCCGATTTTCAAAATTTGTCTCCTTTCAAAAAGCAATGGCTGTGCAGAATTGAAATTGAATCGAATTTTGAAAAATTCTAATTCATATTCTATAGTGCCAAATCAACTATCTCGATAACTTTATATACAATAATACTGCACAAATCCGGTATTTTAGCTCGATTTCTTTTAAAAATGCTTAACAAATTGATATTGCCGAATTAAATAAAACACAGGTTATTGAGGAAATGCAATAAGTACAGGGAAGAGGACTTTTAAGAGAGAATAATAAGGATGTTGAGGACAATAACAAGTTTCAAAACGACATAATTAGGAAAATATAATTAAAAGATGTCAAAGGCCATAAATGTTTAAAGACCATTTTCATCAGTCCTTTGGTTTTTTGGCAAATGAATGCATAATAATTACATAATAATATAATACATAAATGGCGTTCATCTATTTTCTTAAAATGGTTCTGAATTTAGAAGAAAAACAAATTGGTCGTGAAAAATGTTCAACATAATTACTCGCATATTCAACATGTTTATTTTGAAGGTAAGTCATCATCCACCAATATCAGCCGCTCACGCTGAAGGTCGGGGATGGTCATGGTGGCAAACATTCTCACTAACGACAAAGAAATATCTGGCAAGAACTATCGAAAACATACCAGAACTACCTGTGCGCCTAAAGCTTGCTTGTGAAGATTATACTTGGAATAAGGTTTAATTTTGGCTTTCTAGCTTTTAGTTTCTAGTTTTTAGTTTTCCATTATATTTTTGCAACAAATGCTACGGAAATGCTTATTTTAATTTCCTTTTTTTAAAAGCAAACATCTTTTCTTGCTTTGCTGTATGTAAGGCTTTCACCAGTAAGCGATTTAGTTAGAAGTATGCAACTTCATCCGTACTTCACTCTCAGTGACCAGTTTACTTCTAATGAACCCTATCCACTATTTTACCGTCAAACGAAGCAAAATAAGGACTACCTGGTCTCATTCACCATCATCTCTTGAAGTACACTGTGCAAAAAATTTCAGGTCAAGGTAGTATTAGAAAATATTGCGCAAACGCCTGAAAAATGGCGATTAAAGCTGGATGGGACGATGGTGATTCAATGTAGTAATGGTACTTCAAGCGAAATCTTTTTTGACAGAACTAAGGGAACAGCAATCAGTGGTATTATCTCGAAAAACAATAAAACAATAAAGCTAGTCGGTTTTTGGGACAAATATCTTCAAAAGTAATAACCAGACGTCAAATTTTTTCAAATTAAAATAATGGAGTGGAGTATTGCGGTTGAGTTTTTATTACGGCTAAGCAACATTAGAAATATCGAGTGGTACTCAAAGCTCAATCCTCCATTCTCAACTATCTCTCTAGTTCAGTACAAATAAGTAAAAATACAAATGGAATACATTATCGAGGAAACAACACAGATTTAGATTTAACTCATATATCAGGGAATCTTTTACAAATTATTCATTAAGAGATGGCGACGGAAAATTCTTGTTCGAGACAGTTCCCCTTGATTATGATGGAGACAATTGTTACGGGTTTTCGAAATTCGCATGCAGTTTAAACGACTTGGCAACAGGAGAAGCGCAAACTTTACCACCCACTGATAGCCGACTTCGACCTGATATCCGTTTTCTTGAATTTGGTGAGCCAATAAAAGCTAGCGCCGCAAAATTTGCGCTTGAAGAGGTTTGAGCTTGTTTCTTGCTTGTTTCTATTTTCCCATTTAAAAATTTCTTTTTTCTATTGATCTCCAATTTTGTGTATCACAAACCAGGTTTTGAATTCAGCAACAAAGAACACGAGATAAATCGACATACGAACCAGTCTGGTTCCACAAAAAAGAAGATTTAATGACGCACAATTTTTTGTGGATATCAAATGGAAAATACTGGAGAGAAAGAGAAAATAATTTCCGCAATTCAAATTCGCCAGAATTATTTAGCACTTTTTCCAATTAAACAGAATGTACTTCGCATCTTCTGTTTATTCATTTGTCAATTAAAAAACCATTAGAACTGAAAATTTCTCATTTGAAAATTGCCACATTTTAATTTGGCTGTTGCGCCAAACCCCGTTGAGTCTCCGCACTGATTCCAGATAGAAATTAAAAATTTATGTGATCCGGCTTCTACCTGTCCACACCAAGCCACAACTGATTTAACCTAACACCTAGCATTTAAATGAGAAATGAATTATGCTAACGGAATGCTAACAGTTCTTAAAGATACTCTACACTGCACTATTTAGTCAAAAATAATTACGCCACCAGGAGGACCCTTAAAGGATGACTCTCATCTATGGCATTTTCGCATCAAATACCTGAGAATACAAATCTAATTTTACGATATTTAAAGCGCCTTTCGTCTATGGCCACAACATTAAGCCTCATTTATAATTTTTAGCAAACAAAAAAAAGGGCGTTGCTCTCATAATTCGATTTGCGTCGACAATTTTCCAACATCTCAGCAAATTTATAATAATTCTGAATGAAAGTAAATTCCACATACTGAATCCATCTTCGGTATTATTATAGTGCCATATAAACACGTTAAGCGCCCGTTGATCAGACATTTTCTACTAAAATTTATTTTACAGGCAAATAATAAATACCCTTAATATAAGAAATGCGAAAAAATATTTCGCTAATCGCGTATGTTTTAAAAAAGTGAATAATAAAGACTAATTGGGTTGATTTCATTCAAAGCACATGAATATTATTATATTATTATTATATGAATATATCCAAAAAAACAAAAAATACAGACCAAATTAAAGAAATTAAAAATAAGCGCTGTATAATACAAAATGAACTGAATAAATCACACTAGATATTTAACAGTTCCACCAGAACTTGTCCGGAAATGCTTGACACTTGCGACATTTCCTAGTACTTTCATTTCAATTTTAAATCATCTCAATTTCACTATTTCGTTTTTCCCATTAATATATCAGTGATTTCCTTTTCTCATTAACCATTAATCAAGAGATTATTCATATAGAATGGTTTAAGAAAAAGGCAAAAAAGATGAGGAAAGGATTCAAAACATTATTCCAATAATCGTTGCTGCCAAAATTTCTGGTACAAATAAATGAAAGTGAAATTTAAAAAAATAGCTTACCAATTTTACCAATTCTCACTAATACCAATTTTAAACTACCAATTACCAATTTTTTGCACCAATATTTATTCAACGGATGGAATTCGTCGAAATAAATCCAATGCTACGGAAATATTAATTGAGTATTAACTAGAGATTTTAACTTAAATGACAAAGAATGCAGCAATAATTTATATAATAAAGCAAATGTAAAATTATGTAAAATTCTTAGTGCAAAAAAAATATAAAATAAAGTGGACTCGCGATTTTAAAGAGAAAAATTTGTACCTTTAATGAAACGACTTTTGGCTTAAAGATGCTTTAAAGATTATGATTAGAAGTTTACGAAAATCTGCGAATTCACAGATATGATATATAAAAGTATTCCATATAATAAAGAAAGACTGCAAAAGAATTCCCCACCTTACACCACTACCACTATTTATATCTTTCTGCAGCTACACATTAGATACAATAAACTCAGAAGCTATGGAACTCGTTGACTGATTACCCAAAGGTCAAACTATTATGTATCCTGAGAACTTTAAAAAAACTGATAATACTAGTTTTTTAAATTCTTAAACATCCGACTACACCAAAAAATACTCAATTAACTATGTTCATATCACTTTTAAAATATTAAATGATTTTAATCTCAGAAAATCAATCTATTTAAAAATAAAAAGATAAATAAATTAAAATTATTCGACCAACCATGCTATTTGTTAACAAATATGATCAATAAATTTAAAAATGATTTTTCTTAAAAATTTAAAAATGCAGATCAAAAGATTCCTAAAGCGAGAAAAGAATATCATGCACTGCATGATTATCGCATATTTTAGACTGGAAACGTATTTAAATTATAAACGTCAGTAAAAAACTGAAAAAAAGAAAGCGGAGCAAAAATATCTAATTACTTCCACAGAATAAAAAAAGCCATTGAAACTAGCAATATAAATTATCTATTTTCATAATTCGCAAATACTAGAACGACATGATCTCATGCGGTTTAATTACCATCATGAGGAGAAATAAGATCAACACTCCCATCTGTATCACATTCAGTGTCGGAATTTGGGCTTACTGAATCGCGCTTGCCATCATACGAATTTGTCTGGAATGAGTAACTTAAAAACTTATAATTAAAATTTATGAAAAAATATAAACCAAGCAATAAAAACTAATTACTACTATAATTCACTCCTAAAGGAAAAAATTTCATAAAATACCAAGATGATTTTTTGAGTTCCAAGCTCTTTCATAGCTTCCCCAATGGGATTCACTAAATCATTCTCAACACTGCTCTCAGCACCATATGATTCCCAACCTCCTAAAATTAAAAATTGATTCAGAATTCTATTTGTTTCTTCTATTTTCGTAATTCGTAGGAAAAAAGGAGAAACCATATATTACCTAAACCAATTGGTCTAGTTTTTTGATGAATGAACAGCCTTGACAATCCAACTTCTTCGACATTTACAGGTACAAACTTTTCACATCTAAATGAAGCCATGTTTTGTTCATTACCAGGTGCGACCTGTAACTTTGTAGTATGAACAACTAATTTTATAGATTCCAATTAGTAAACCAATATGCTAGGAACTAGAAAACCTTTCATAACACAATTTGAACATACTAAATCGGTGCTAGAATGACCACTTGGAATAACTTCCGCAAATGTGAATTGCGGTCCCATCCAAACTCGTCTCGCAGGTTCTCTGTACGTTATCATTTCAACCTAAAATAAAACGATGAGACAGAATGATTCGTCGAGAAAAAAGAGAAAAAAAAGTGAGAGGAAATAAATTTACCTGACGTGTCCATTTTTCGTGATCTCCATTATCCTTACCGCCGTCTTTTAAATCATTGACAGAGTCTGATTGCAACATCCAAGTCCACAGAGGATTGAATTTAGTGATTGGTAATTTCAAAGTGGATAAAAATCTTGTCCTAAAAATTATAAAATTAACCACAAGAAAAATTAAAAGAATTAAATCAAAAAAGAAAAACAAATCATCGAAAACACACAACTGTCCTGAACATACCTATCTAATTCCCACATTGCTTCTGGTTTTGCCACACATTTTATAGGCTTATTGGATGACTCAGGATCTGGATCGCTAGTAATTATAGAAAGCGTATATTCAGTCAATTTGCCAGCAGTATCAACAGCAAGTAATGAAGGATAATCTGATGGAGTCACAGGATTTGAAGAAAATGTTGTCTGTAAAATTATAACGAATTCAATCTTTATTGCAAAAAGTAAAAAGTTTCAATCTTAAATTTTGATGACCTCTGATTAGTTTCTACAAAAGTTCAAAATTCTGTACTGGACAATTCTGGACAAATTTACTTAAAACTGAGGAAGTTCGTTGTTTACTTTTCCACGTTAAAAATTGAAAGGCTCCTCAATTAAACAAAACCAGATTTAATGAATGAGTAATTTTTACGAAAATACGATTCCTTTCATGGCTCTTGCTACTTCTTCTTCCACATGTGAAATATGTAGGAGTTAGATCGCTTGCTCGTGCACTGAGATTTTCCGCTGACAAGAATTTCTGCTATAAAATGAATTTTATGATTTTTTATATGAAAAATACAACAGGACACTACATTCCTTAAATGTAGTAAAACAAGAAAGAATTCATAATATAATCTTTCATTTATAATAATTCAAAATAAAGAAAAAATAATCTATAAAGAAAGAAACTAACTCCAAGTTTGCAAGTTGCATAAAGCGAAAGAGGTTTGGGGAAAGGACCAATTCGAGGATTCTTTACTGCTCTAACTAATGGAATCTGAGACAAACTTGGATGTTCCCTACAATAAAAATAAATGAATGTCATTGCAAATAGTAAAATAAAAGGATAATAAACAAAATTAAGCTACAAACTTATGAATAGGCGGATCTCCTGGCCTAAGAACTCTGTGTTCTTCTAAATTTCGATCTCGAAGTATCATCTGTGCCTCGCTAACACCAGCAGTTTCAAGAAACCTAAACCATTAAATTGAAAACTATTTCAGACACCATAATAGAGCAATGAAACAATTAACAAAAACTCTAATGGTCATTAATTAAAGTTTTTATAAGTTTATTACTAAAAAAATTTAAAAACTAATAATAGGATTGTACATACTTTGAACTTCGCCTTTTAGAAAACCTATGGTGCGTGCGCAAAGTGGCCTGCCCACCATTTGGACAAATTGCAAAGATATGCGTGGTGCCATGATTAGTCGTGACAGCTACCCAACGATTATCAAGTGAAAAAGCACAATGAAGAGTCTAAAATGAAAGCAAAATATTTAAATAAAAAACAACATTCCAAGTGATATGAATAAATTCAGCCAAAATGATAATTTCGCCAAACTTTTTCCACTTCATTTCATGTTTGAATTTTATTGAATAGTACAATAAATAATAATAAGTGTCAAGCAATAATAGCAATTTATTTATTTAATAAACGGATTCGCTTTGAGGGAAGAATTTTCATTATTTCATTAAAAGTAGAAATAAGCGTGATAACATAATAACTAGGGGTAAAATACCAAATATGAAAATCAACATCAAAAAATTGGTTCATAATAGAAAGGAAGCTCACTCTATTAATAAAGTTTGTTAAATCCTAATACATTATTAGCATCTATTAATTTGGCCGAAAATTCTATTATCAAGTTTCTCAAGTTAGCCTCCAGTTACATTTCTTCAAGACTTTCAACCCGCTTTCTTTTTTCGCTTTTTCGATTCTTTCGGCTCTTAAATTTCCTCCACAGAGCAGAAATTTAACAACACATAATTTATAAATTATTAATGAAAATATAACGAAAATATAAAAATGCAAAAAAAAATTTTGATAAGACTTCTTAGAGTTTTGCAAAATAAATATACGTAGGAGAAATGAAGAAATTAAGCAGTTAAAAATATGCAAAAGGATCCAAAATGGAATTGAAGAGGTCAAAATAACAAAAAATCTGAATCAAGAATAAATTGAATTTGGGAAAATCTTAACGGACAATCAGGTCTGAAGGAATATAAACCGGTTGTAAAAACGATAGTACAAAGCGATTTGATAGCACCTTATGAATTGCGTCGAAGAAGCACTAAGAGATTTGACAAAATTTCAAGGCAAAAAGTAGGATCTTCGAGAAGTATATAAAGGAATACGACATATTCCAATGTTAATGAAGCGTCAATGGCGTTTGAAGGGTGCTTACTTACGGAGACGATGTCAATTAGCAAAGATTTGAAAAGGTACTTTATAATTTATAGATTTTGGGAGATGTCATAGCGTTTCATCTCATAATGGCTGGTCAAGGTTTTGCAGGTTGAGGCCTTATTTTTTTCTGGAAACATGCATAAATAAAAAAATCATTGCAAAGATAAAAAGAGTAAAAAAATCATTGCAAAGATTAAAAAAAAGTAACTAAAGAAAGTGAAACTATACCTTTGCAGGTGTTGTACCACGTTGAAGAGTATACAAATGACGAACTGCTCCAAAAGATGATGACAGAGGATGAGGGAGAAGAAGAAACAAGTGAAAACATGTAGAAGACTGACCTGCAAAAAAATAAATAACCATAAATTTGAAAAATTATTGATAACCAAAAGAATGAAGTAGAAAAGTGGAAAATCCATAGCAATTCAAATCTAATCCAAAAACACAATTTGAATAAAAATCTCCCAATAAAATCTTCCTTAAATAACTTATAAAGTAACCTGCAGTTAAAAGTAGCCTACCACCATTTGCAAATGCAATGAAACTAACTGCTTCCGTATGTGCTACAAAATGTGCCAATACAAACGATCCATCCAGTTTCTATAAATGTTATTGCTCAAAATAAAATTGCAAAAAAAAACAGAACAGATGATAAAAAATATACCTCTCCTTTAGTAGATCCGTCCACATTAATAACAGTTATTATTCCAGGGTCAGTTAATGAGCTAAACAGAAACTTCGGTTTTGAAGAAGAATAATAAGACGCAACCGTCTCACCAAAGGCGGAAACTGTTTTCTGCAAGAAAAATGAAAAGAAAAAATATTCATATACTCAAAAGAAGAACCATTCACGAAAAATTTTCAAAATAAATAACAAAGTTAACCTGAGAAAAAAAACTGATAATAAAAATTGAGAACATTTTAACTGATTTAATCATCAAACCTTAGCAACATTAAACAGACCATACGTATATGAATTATAAGATGAATCGATTGACTGAGTACCTTCTTCAATATCTAGAGAAACACCGCCACAACTTTGGTTTGATTCATTAAGCTGAAATATGAGAAATATAGCAAAAAAACTGGAAATTTATCTATCAACAATCAGTTATCCAATGGTTTATTAAATAAGTAATAATGAAGAAAAATTATAGAAATAAAAATTCAGGAGAGAAAGATCTCCTTTCATTGCCATTTCAACAAATAAAAATCCAATCGATCATTATCATTTGCTAAAAAACAAATACTACTGGAATTCATCAAGCTTATATGAATATGATAATCAAAATCTGAAATTACACTAGAAGTAGCATATGCAATAAGAATATCAGATACAGCAAATGGAACAGGAATACCATCACGGATCTGACAATTATATAAACCATACTGTTCATGAAGAGTCATCATATCGCAAATTTTAATATATTTAGCGAAAGCAACAACCAAAATTCTGAAAATAACATGTATATTCTCAAATCTATAGAATAATCTATAGAATCCTCTAGAATCTGTAGAATCCTCTCCCTAGAACTCACTTTAACTGGCAACATATATAACTAAAAATGTAAAAACCCTCATAAAAAATGGAATAAGTTAAGAAATACTTTGATGATGCTTCAACTGACATGATTTCATCTACAAAATTCAACTGATGGACGAACTGCGCTGTACGCAATGATAAAAATGAGAGTGTTCCAGATTTTTCGCCATGTGGCGTTCCTTCTACCATAGCAAACAAGGGTTTCACTGATTCAAAGCTAAAATACAGTGCGCAATAAAATGCAAACCACTTTTACACTCGAAATGCGATACATTCTTTAAAAAAGCCCGAGATATTTAGAACAAGCGCAAAATAATGAAATTTTGCCTATATTTATATCATTTTTTTTGCATTAAATATAGGACAGTTCGAATAGACTGGTATATTTATATTCAAACATTGCATTAATAAGATAAATTGGTGAAACCTATCTTTTGCGCATCCATAGCATGGCTCAGTGTCTGGATTCAAGAGTACTCCTATTCTAATCGTCCCCGTTCTTTCTGATACGACTTCAGTGAACAGCCCATCCTCCTATTATTATCATTTCTTATTATTATTATTACATCAAATAATTACAAATGAAACAAGCTAAAAACCTTCATCATATAGAGTTTATATCCACCTGTAAGAGTTACAATAACAACATCAACCATCCGCTTACGATCATGCACTGAAATATTTTGCCTGTATATTTTTTTAATAAAAAATTTCAAAATATTAATTCTATCTATGCGCATTAATCATACTATCTTAAAAAAAATTCACTTCTAAACAAAAAATATTTCAATTCACCGAAAATTCACAAAATAAGGCCCATAAAAATAAAATAAATGAAACAGCAAACCAAATGGGCATTTCTGAATCGAAACCCATTCAATACGCTCCGTACAGTTGGAAGAAACAGTCGTCTGTGGTATAACATCATGAACGAATTCTGCCATGGAACCAACAAGAGATATTTCTCTAAGAAAAACAAATAAATGGTATTTTTTTTTGAATGCACAATCCAGCACAAATTATCACAAGACTTTTTTAATTTATATATTTGTATAGCAACCAAAAAAAAAAATACCGAACACACTGTGGCCTTATATGAGGAAATATTGGATTTTGACGACCAAATAATGATGAATCTCTCGATGTGGGTAAGACTGCTATACCATTTTGCGACGCAGGTGGAGTTATTGATGCAGATAGGCTAACAGTTCGATTCTGCAACCTTGATGTTCGAACAGGTGGACGAGGATTGGTTTCCTTAACGATTAAAATTTTATATTTTACTAATGTGAAGCTTAAAAGATGAAAAAAATCAATACAGAAAAAACTTACCATTTTGGAATATGAAGTTGGCTGATTATTTGCGATGGATATACCAGCATTCACCTCCTGCTATAATTATAAGAATTATAAGAATAAGAAAAAAATATTATAAGAATTTGTAGAAGAAATTTTCCAAAAATCCATTTCATTTTTTGTATGAAAAAAACTTAACTACAACTGGGTTTATCTTTTACTTCATTTATTTCAAATTTTCTGCTAGATTAATATGCAAGAAGCAGAAAAAAAAATGTGGAGAAATTACAGTGCTACACATTTTCAAAGATTCAAACTGGGAAATGAGAAAGCCGACAAAGAAAACTTACAGCAAATGACTTTGTTCTTATCGAATGGGGTGATCGATTTCGTCTGCTAATCTCTTCCTTAAAAAAATAAAGAGTAAATTGAAAAAAAAATATTTCTTTCTTCAACCCCCTCTCTCAGCACCTTTATTCCATCTCTTTTGGTTTTTCTTTTTAAATTTCTCTTTTAAGACAAGAAAACTTGTAAACTTAAGTGTGATTAGGAAAAGTATACACCTGTAAACGGTCGGAATGTCCAGAGTTATTCATTCTACTTGCAGAACTTTTTTTCAGAATTTTTCTGCCAGATACTAATTTTTTCGGTAATTAATTTATGATTTACCCAAAACAAAAGGATTTTTTTCCAACCAAATACATCGTCCTTTTTTAGTTCATTTTACAATAAAAATGCTATAATTGCTTTTTTGGTCTGATTTTTCCTAAAATCAAAATCAAAAAAGATTGGAACAAAACTGGCGAGTGCGCAATATGCATATGACATCAGAACGCAATGCAAATGCACGACGACACTACGTAATGCAAGTCTACAAAGACAACGCGAAATACAAATTTACGGCGCTAATTACAAAATAAATAGTAGACATACGAACGAAACAAGTTTTCTGCATGATGTATTCGATAAGCAAAAATGATAATGATAAAATGATAAAAAAATTTGAAGAATTATGCAGAAACATACGAACGGAAAAATACTACCAATAATATTAATAATTTTCCTACGCCTTAAATGAGAAGGGAACCTACTTCAGGCGAAAAACGAAAGCACACAATACAATACGACAATGACGACAAATGCCCGATTCTCTCAAGTTCTTTTTTTCTCCATTTCCGACTTGGTTGGTCCCATAAACTACCAAAATGAAACCCATCTATTAAAATGAAAATTAAATGAAGAAAAAGGGTATGAAGAACGATTTCCAATTTTTTATAACAACTTCCGCTAAGGGATTAATCGAATATAGACTAACCTGACGGACGTAGAAGCAACATGCCATAAAACAACCTTATTATTTAGGGCAAAAAGATGAAATATAATGGGAAGATGGAGAACCAAGGACAACTGAGTTGCATTAATGCTCCCATTAAGCATCATGGATTCGATTCCAATCCACTGGTGGAAATAAATATTTTTCATTGAAATGAAATACATGTTTGCGATCAATTCACATCTCTTTTGATCTTTTCCCTTAACAGTAAGCACAGCCAGTCAAAGAATATGAATGGAGAGGAACACTAGAATTATAGCGATAAATTACTTTGTTTCTAGTTATATTTGCAGCATTAGAGGCACAAGTGGTCTTCGTGCGACAACTGCCCACTGGCGCTACAACTGATCAGCAGTACCACACCCGTCCACAAGTGCTATAAGTACACTAGTGAAAGGAAGCAGAGCAGCATTTGAAGATGGACAGATAGATTTATCATGCACTTGCAAATCTATCCCGTCACATGAATTTAGGAAAAGCGGTCAACGAAAGCGAGGAGTCGACAATCTACCGCACCACCCACTTCTATTATAACACATAAACATACTCTTCCTCTTTCGCCACAATCATATCCCGTTACGGCGTTCCACCAGCAATCAGCTGATTTTTCAGGCATAAATTCAGAGGTGATTGGCATTGTGCCAAATAAACAACATATTGAAATGGCTTGCGTGCGTATTTAAGCGTTCGCGTTGTGTCTTCTTGGCTTTTGTTGTTTCATGAACCTTCGGTTTGTGAGTGAGGGTAAAAGTGCAGAAGGGAGAGAGAGTGTTGTCACGTAATTTAGGATCGTTGAAGCTTTTTTTTATACGCCACTGACCTTTCAAAAACTCTTTTGTCAATATTTTGCAAAAAATAAATTTTTTTAGGTTCTCTTTTCTGCATTTCATTTAAATTTGTTATAAAATTTGGAAACAGAAAGGTTTAATATTTGTTCATTTTTTGACTTGTTTTTTAGCTCTATTGTTTGCAAAGAATGTATAAGTTTTGGGTATATTAAGGAGAAGCCATCATCAGATAGCAGAAAAGTTGCGAAGGTCAGAGATGGCCTCGCGTCATTTCGCATTCAATTTGAGAAATTGCCGTTCTTTAAATGATAAATTTTCACGACATGGTTATAGTTCATTTCTCGTTTTGCTAGTTTTTTGCAGCGAATTAAACGATTTCCTGACCTTTTGTTTTCTTTGAATAAATAATATGAATTTTTTTAAAGTATTTGACGTATATAAGAATAGTTAACGTAGCACGCTGGCTTATGTCACCACGAAGATTTCCATACCGTTCCTACCGTTTTTTTCTGATTCTCTCCCGGATTTTAATACGATTATGTTAATTATTTTCCTTAATTTCAATGTTTGATCGCAATAGTTTTTATTATTTTTATTTAAAATATTGTTAGTGAATAGAATTCGATTGATTTATATCGAAATATATCGTAGATTTTGAATAAATTTATTTTATTTTATTAGTTGCTGGGATGAGTTTTAACGGGGACATTTGGTGGATTTGATACTTTTCTTGTGGTTGCATTCTACCAATTGATATTTTCATGGATATAAAGTTTATCGCTTTTTTTGACGACTTCTCGTAGGTTAAAAAATAAATAAAATATTGAATAAGTAACAGAGTGTTTTCATTCGATAATAAGTTGGTGAAATCGAGATGCTATATTACTTAATTCAACCATAAGCGGTATAAGCTCAATTCTTAGTCCTTTTATCTATGGTGATGCCGAGCCGTCTCGTTTGTATATTCTCGGTCACTCCATGGTTAAAGAGTTTGACGAGTTTAATAATAGTCCTATTGAAAATGGTTTTTTTTTGTTGTGGTAACTTTTTATTGTCATCTATAGTTGCTGTTGAACCATATTAATTATGCCATCAAATTTCAGTCTCTGCTGACTCTGCTGACTGTTAGGATGAAATCTTTTTGTTAGAGAGTTATTTATGAATAGGAGAGCAGATGAGTTGGCATCGTTATTTCATTTTCATTAAACGATTTATTTTCGTTAAGGGATAGGAAATATAGGACTTGACCATAGTTTGTAACAATGCCGTATCTTGTTATTAAACTTGGAATGAACGAATTTAATGGCTTTGAAAATTTTCAGGATATATTGGGATCGTTAAATTCTGGTGTGATATATTTGTGCGGAAAGTGGTATACCTTTAAATTTGGAAAGGGGTAGGGAAAGTGTAAAACGCACGAAATTAAGGTTCCTCTATTTGTTTCTTTTTCTTCATTTATTTTGAAGTTTTCTTTGAATTTTTCATTTTGATGAATAATGGAATATTTTGAAACTTCCATGTTTTACTTGTCTCTCATAATAGCTATCTTTCATAATACAAGAGTACCATCAGAAGTAGTACTCTAGTGGTGAGCGAGAAATATGCTTTTCACTTTTATTCATTTTTTTCAAAGGGATTTCGGCCTTAAGAATCGATGATGCAGGCCAAATTAAAGTTAATTTTATGAGTAAAAGTGCAAATATCCAATATCCAATCAAAATTATAAAACGCAAAGATTATGTTGATATATTTCAAATAGATTTTTGTGTAAAGTGTTAAATCACTTTTTTTTTTGATTTAGAAAAGGACACATCGTTAGTAATCGAAAAATTCAAAGAAAATGTCAGGAGATGCAGATAAGCTCAATCTCGACAATATCATTGCAAGGCTATTAGAAGGTGTTATCATTTTTTTTTAAATATATTGCCATGAATGCACCTTAAGTCCACCTTAATTTTGCTCTTTTCTTCAATGTTCCTTTGTTGCATTTACATTAGCATTTAATAATTATTGATCATATCACTTATATTATTTATTTTCTCATTAAAATCATGGTCAGGGTCACTCCTGAAGGTTGCACTATGGTCGTCAAGTAAATAGTCATTATTGCAATCTCTATTTACTAATAATTTTTTCTCTTTCCCATTTTGCATATCTTCATCTCTTAATTTTGAAATTTTTGGAGAAAATTTTATTTTTTTTATGACTTATTTTATATGACTTCTGTTTTGTTTTTCAGTTAGAGGTTCAAAACCAGGTAAAAATGTGCAATTAACAGAGAACGAAATAAAAGGATTATGTATAAAATCAAGAGAAATATTTCTTAGCCAGCCAATACTACTTGAACTGGAAGCTCCACTCAAGATCTGTGGTATGTTTTAAATATAAATTAGAAGTAGATTTGTGGTAATTTCGTGGATTACTATGATTATTGCACTATAAATATAAAAAAAAGTCTCACTTCGTTCTGGCTAATGAGGGTCATCGTCTTGGTCATGATCATCATGAACCTCGTGTGTTCTGCACAGTATCTTTCTAGCAGTGCGCTGTTCTTCTATCGGCTTTCATTATTACTGTTTAGGCACATTCCGCTGGCTGTAAGAGCAAGACATATTCAAGCTGTTCAGTCCGACGAAAATTATAGAAGCCACTCCTTCTTCCATCATTCATGTCCATATCTTGATTTTATATAGCGTGTTGTTCTGGACAGAAATCTGAAATTGTTCGCGGAATCTGCTGAAGCCATTTTTCTAGTTTAGAGATCATAGTTCTAAATTCTTTAATTATCACACTTTGGCCTTCAACAGAAATGTTGTTTATAAGAAGATTATTAAAATTTGTTCTTCAAATTTTGCCTGACAAGTAGTCAATTAAAAAATTTATTATAAGTTTTTCTAAATTGATCATTGTTTTATAGGTGACGTGCATGGTCAATATTACGATTTATTAAGATTATTTGAATATGGTAGTTTTCCTCCAGAATCAAATTATCTTTTTTTGGGTGATTACGTTGATAGAGGTATATATAATTTCGCAATAAAATACTGGGAATTTTGATTTTCCAGTTTATTACATTAAAAATTTTTTTTCAGGCAAACAATCATTAGAAACAATTTGTTTATTACTCGCATATAAAATTAAATATCCTGAAAATTTCTTTTTATTGCGTGGGAATCATGAATGTGCATCGATTAACAGGATATATGGATTTTATGATGAATGTATGTTTAGATTTAGATTTAATTGTTTAGATCTAATTTAAATCATTGTTTTGCTATAAGAAGTAGGACTAGGATAGATTTAGGAAATAGATCAAATTTTTAATAAATTTTTTGAATATATAGGCAAACGACGCTACAACATTAAGTTGTGGAAGACGTTCACGGATTGTTTCAATTGCCTGCCAGTAGCAGCAATAATTGATGAAAAAATATTTTGCTGCCATGGTGGATTATCTCCAGATTTGCAATCCATGGAACAAATTCGTCGTATCATGCGGCCCACTGATGTACCTGATCAAGGATTACTTTGTGATTTATTATGGTCTGATCCTGACAAAGATGTTACAGGTGAAAGAAACTTTTTTGTATTATTTAATTAATTATTAGAATAAATTGCCCTTTGATGTTATTTCTGCACCAGAAGCATATAGTTTTAAAAATAGAATTATCCACGATATTATCTATTTTCATAGTTTCATTTAGTTAATGGTTTAATTTTTTCTGTTTTTTATTCCTTTATCATTTTATTCACGTAATGTGGCTTTTGTTGCCGCTATTTAACAAGTTTTTGGCCTATTCTAAATATCTAATAAAATTTTAAATTTCGTTTATTTTTTTTCATCTTCAGGTTGGGGTGAAAATGATCGAGGGGTCTCATTTACATTTGGGCCTGAAGTTGTTGCCAAATTTTTACATAAACATGATCTCGACCTCATATGTCGTGCGCATCAGGTTTAAATCGTCAAATTCGTTTTTTTTTGCATTTTTTACTGTTTTTTGTTTCTGAAATTTTTGATCTTGCGGCATTGTGGTTCTGTATTTTTATAGTACCATTCTATATTTTTTAGTACCATTTCTTTCTCATCTTTTCTTTTTATTATTTCAGCTAGCAGTGGCATAAATTGGATCGAAAATTTTGCCCGCTCTTAATATCATTCATTGATTTTATAGGTAGTCGAAGATGGCTACGAATTTTTCGCAAAGCGACAGTTAGTAACACTTTTCTCAGCTCCTAATTATTGTGGCGAATTCGATAATGCAGGTTCAATGATGACTGTTGATGAAACACTCATGTGTTCATTTCAAGTTGGTTTTTAAATTTATATTTGAATTTTGTAGAGGATAATTGTTAAGTCGAATAATTTTTTTTAAAATTTTTTCTTCAAATTATTAATTGAATATATGATAAGACAGCTTAAAATTTTTTGAAGTTTTTTTTCTTTTTGTTTTATCGCTAGAGTGATGTCTTTTGAATGATAAAGTATTTATTTTATCATTTATTATTTATTTTATTTAACTCCGATTTATTTATTTAATAATTTAATTGAAATAAAAAAACTAATAAAAACCATGATGAAAAAAAAATTCAATATTTATTATACTTATTAATATTTAAGATTCTGAAACCAGCCGACAAGAAGAAGTTCCCATATGGAGGCGTGGGTACCGCACGACCAGTAACACCTCCAAGAACACCAGCACCGAATCCGAAAAAGGGTAAAAAGTAAAAAGTGCAAAGTATTAGAAACTTAGTTCATTGATGTGTTGTTTTAAATTTACTCAGAACTTATATTATTATGCGTCCTCATAAAACTATTCGATAGAATTTTTATATATCAGTAGTTCTCAAAGTATGGCTTCATGACCACTGGGGATTTTTGTAACAATTAATAACATAATTTAAAAGGAAATTTCATTATAATACTGAAATATTTTTGTTTTTTTTGTTTATTTCTAAGATTATTTATGCTTATTCTAAGATTATTCTAAATATTACCGAATTTTATCTAAAATTTTTCAAATTTTCTAAATGAAGAATTTATAATATTTAAGGAGGAAAACTTTTAATTAATAAATAAATATATCTGAAGTTTATTAGGAACCCTTAATAGCTTTTAATAATGTAAAGGGAGTCTGTAAAATTCACTGATGACACTGATATATGAAGATTCGAAATTATAAAGATCTTTCAGTTCACGAATAATATTATCACTTAGTTTGCTTTGTCAAGCAAGGGTATTGTGGGGAGCTCAAATAATTAATCTTGATTCTTCCACTTCAGATTTCAATTTTCTTTATAGTCATTAAATTCTTTAGATAAGGGATGTTAAATATTCTTAATATTCATTATTTCTAGTTATTAAAAACTCCGTTGGTTATTGGTTTAATATGGTTAATATAAGAAATAAATAGTGCTATTAAGCATTACTGATAGCCACTTCCATTCCACAAACTTACAGTATTTGTTGGCAGAAATGTTATCAAAATTTGTTATTTAACCAGTGATTTTTTCAGTTTATGAGTCATAGATGGATTTTAACCAAGACAAGAAGAAATTTTTCGTCCCGAGTAGTCGATTTTTTTTTCACTCCAGTTTTTCATTCATACTTATTTTCAAATTAGATTTGTTGTAATGTTATAACTGAAAAAAAAAATTATTTGTGTGCATATTTTTATATATATATATATAGTGATATTAAGCAAAAAAAATTTTTCGATTTTGTTTGTTATTATAATGCGAATTGTCGTTTTACAGCGAAGTTCATTTTCGAGTATTTTAAATTATTTTCAGTAGCGAATATTAATTTGTTTTTTTGGGTAAATTGTTTAAGGTTAATAGTAATAAATAAATAATCCAATAACATTTTTTTTTTGTAGGTAGAATTATGTTGGTGAAATGTTCCTTAAGTTTTTTGATTTTTGATATAATTAGGGATTTTCAGCAAGCTGTTATTTGCTGAATATAAATGATTTTCATAATTTATTTAATTTTTAATTAATTTAGGTCATTGCTCCAAAGTTGGGATTGTATGGGAAGCGTGGCTTGTGGGTATATCTGCAATTGTTTTATTGGACAATAGTTGAGAATGTTTCCAATTGACGGTTTAGATTAGGAAATCTAGCACTAGTTTGGATGAAAATTGTGGTAGAGCAGTTTAATTTACCTCGGGCTTCTTTCATTAGAAAAACAACTTGGATTTCTATTAGTCTTATTTTTAATACATTCAGCCTCATCTTTTCTCATACATATATCTTTTTTTTCATTTACTTTGTTTTAATAAATTTATAAATGTAATAGTAGTAAAAAAAAATTTTGCTATCTTTATAATGTTTACAACGGCTCATATGTGGAAATAATCTCTAATTGTTTGGAAATATCGAAATTTTTTGTTTAAATGCAAGCGATTTATCTTGTATTTCATTTTACAATGGAGGAAGGGAATGAAAAGTTGTAAAAATTTGTTAATATGAATGTCGTTAATGGTGAAAATGGTGATGAAAGGACATTCATTTTTTATCGCAGTCGATTCGTTGGTGAATTGGTCTATCTGGTGACCAGTGGAACGAAATGAGGATTGGTACTATTAAAAGAAGAGGATAGAGAATAGTTTGGTAGGAATCATTAGTCTATTTTGTCGTCGAGAAATTAATTACCTCAAAAGATATTTTAAAAAAATAAGTTTCTACATCGTTGGTATTTAGCTAAGAATTATTTCGAGCTTAGGTTCAACTGTTTGTTAAGTGATTTTTGAGAGAATTAATAATTTTGAAATTTTTATCATGAAAAATTTGGAGAGCAGTTTGTTTTTCAAAGTTGATTACTTTCTTTGTGAGCGTAAACTCGTTGGTAAATTTTCGGTTTCTTATAAGTGATCTTCTGAAATACGTAAAAATTGATGAGATTATTAGGAAAATTTGATTGGATGAATAAAACTTCGCAAAAAAGAAAGAACGGCGAACAGAGTAAAAGCTGTGGAAAAGAAAATTGGATAAAGAACTATATGAAGATGAAAAGATAGGTAGAAGATGATTAAAAGGAAAGGAGAGTGGGTTGAGGGGGAAGAAATAAAAGAAAAGTATAGTGGAAGCAAAAGGCATTAAAAGATTGGCTGGAGACTGTGAGGGATAATTGGCAAAATACGACCTTTTCTTTAAAAGTTTCTTCTAAAGAAGCTTTTGACAGTTCCATTTGCTCTGTGGATTCTTGAGCACGTCTCGTTTCACTGTTTGTTTGTGTGCCCATGAAATAGTCGTCGATATCAATTTGTAGCTCTGCTGGATGATTTCCGAAAGCTTCAAGTGCTTCAACAGGTATAAATGTGCTTTTATCAGCGAAAGCCATTTGTTTCTGCAGTTGAGAAAAAACCTTCGAAAGATTTTAGTAAAAAGTATCTCGTAAACGATAAGTAAGCAATAAGTTTAATTGACGATAGTGGTAGTTGATGGATGAAATGAAAGTCGCCATTTAATTGTTTTTAAACATCTTCGAAATGTTCTAACAACAGAGGATCTTATATATAATAGGCTAGGCAACACATCTGATTTGGCTGGCCGGGCTTTCCGCGTCGACAGCGAGTCTCTGATGGAAATAACGAAATTTGTGGCGGTTTACGAACGGCCAAGTGGTCACATCAAATGGTCTAAAATGGTTAAATACCGGCGATCGGATTTTTCGACGAAATGGCGATGTATTTTAGTTACAAATATTTATTTTTAATTACAAATTTTAAATTATTTATAAGATTATTGTTTTAATTCATTTTATAAATAAACAAAATGAAATTGGATGCGAGGAAACGACCGACGTTGAAAAAAGAATCCAATGAAAATATTCAAAAATCGAAGTCGCAAAGCACCGAATAAAATTTAAATAAACCGAAAAATGAGTAAATATTGTTAAATTCTATAAAATTTTTTTATACATATATATATTTGAAATTTGCCAATCTCGAAATTTCGAAATTGTGGAGGATTCTTCAACGATCAACAAAGATTTTTATCAACCAATAATCCTAAATCGAATGCTGTAAATGAATTATTCAAGCGAAATACTCAAAGCATTTGGCATAACCAATGTTTTAAAATTGTAAATAGATAAATGATTAATTTTTATCGAAGCCATGCGACCAAATTTCGTGGACGCTTTCGTTTAAATATCGCTTCACGAAAAACAGATTTGACAATCAACGAATTTGACGAATATGCTGGGATGTTAATGCAGTTTAAATCTGCTGCGAGTTCGCTTTCGCTAACCTGAAATTTTATAAGATTTGCCCAATTCGAGAAACACGATTCTGAATTATGTGCGCATAAATAATTCGGATCTGCCGACGACACTCGCAAACAAGCATAAATTCTGCCGACTTGAAATGCGATTCCGATTTGCGAGTGTCTAATACTGTAATTTGCCCTCCCCGAACAGAGTTCGCAGAAAGCGAATGGCAGTTCGCCTCGGAAATTTGCGTTTGGTGAAACTGGTTTTTGTTGTAAACTTTTTTTATTGCAGTCGGAAAATGCATCAGTTGCCTTCAATTTATTATCTCAAATTTTGATTTTGCCAATTTTTCGCAGAATATCGTAATGCGTTTGATTTATGGAAAATGATCCACATCATTATTTCATCAAGAAATCGGATTTCTAAAAAATTTCTTTGGAGCAGCCAACATTCTATGAAATTGCAGCGCCACTTTGATATGATCGGAGAGATTTTGTTAAACAACTGAGGCGTTTTTCTAATGGAGAGTTAAAGCTAAAAGCAAGGACGATTTTTTGTTCGCGTGAATAGTCCAGAGAAAAAAATTATTGAGGGATAATCCACAAATACTAAATTAATAATCCTTTTAAATGGGTTCAAATAATTGGACAGAATTCTCTTCCATATGAAAATTGAAAATTGGTGTGAAAATTGATAAGCTTATGCACCTTATGCATCTTGGTAATTTTATTTATAGACCAGTAGGTCATAAATTTTTTTCGTCGTGGAAATTGTATTATAATTATGGAACACATAGATTCAATTCGTGGTTATTTGGGTTTGAAAATAAATCAAAATACTGCTCCTGAAGCGTTTTTTAGGCAAAATCAAATCATTATACTCACATATGAAAAAATTAAAAATTTTTTACCTTTGTTTGAACATAAAGCATTCACAAAGAAGTAATAACAGTCACATTTTTGAAAAAAAGGTTAAAATATTAAAGGTTGAAAATTAATTTTTTCTGGATTATTTGGGCTATTATGGGCCTTAATGCATTTAACTGATAAAATAGCAATTTTTATCAATTCATTGCCGGTCGAAGAAGTGCTCTATTTTTAATACTTTGGGTTCACTTCAATACCAAATGGCAACGATATTATAAATAATTCGGATCAGGGCAACTAGAAATGCGTTCTTCTGGTTGACGAAGCCTTTATGGAGCCGTCGTGAAGTTACATTAAAACAAAAGTCCGCATCTATATAGCCATGATTCGATCTTGCTATATGGTTCTGAGACATGGCCAATGAGAGTGGCGGATATTAAGAAGCTACCTACACTCCTGACCACTCCTGTCTAAGATATATTTTACGGGTCCATCAAGCGGATTAAATATGATATGATCGCATCCACCTTCCTTCAAACATCTGTATTAATAATATCATCACAGAGCGTTGCCTTCGGTGGTTTAGGGACATTCTCCGTCGTCCACCATAGGAGTTGACGCACATTTCGTTATTTGCTAAACCCTGTGATGGTTGACATCAAAAGCGAAGAGGGCCAGTCAAGACCTGAAATGATACAGCCAGGAAAGATTTTGAATATAAGGGGACCAGCGATATATGGACTTAGACGATGGAAAAAGGAATGGCTTCTATTACTAGTAACGAGGGCATCGGATTGAGCATCTTGGAGATATCTTACCCTTGTAGCCAGTGGAGCCAACCTAACCAATAATGATGAGAGCTGTTAGAAGGAGAAGAATGTGCATTTAGGTCTTCAAATCACAAAATCTTTTAATATCAGCTATAATATAGATCAAAAATCGAGTACTCATTGCATCCTTTAGCTTATTCCTATATTCACTTTTATTGAGCTTAACATGAGAATCCTGTCTCGCGTAAATATATTGTAATGAAAGCTAAAATATATGATAAAAAAAATTGAAGTTTTTATGGAACATTACTGATCAAATAACAAATACCTTAGAATTCCGCGGATGATAGTTTGGGAAAAGAAGAAATTCTATGGAAAAAGTTGCACTATTTAGAGCCATCATTTAATCAATCATCAACGTGCAATCCAAGAAAAATTCCAAATTATTTTGTATATCAATTTTAAAAAATGTTTTTCAATTTAAATCCATTAATGACAAAATTATAAAGAAGGAGTGGGCTAAAAAATGGTTGATGATATATTCCTTTTAATCACCTTGGAGATCTTTAGGTCTGTTAGATCTTTTAAAATTTTCACGAATATTGTTAGGTAGTTCTATTGATCCACAAGGATGGTGAAAAGAAAAAGTGTCCATTTTTTCATTTTGGACTATTTTATCTTATGAATGAATTTATGAAAAAGTTATGCGTATATTATTTGGTTCAGTGGATGGAGTTTACCACTATGCGAGAACCAAAGGACGGCTAAATTTAGATGTAGCTTAAGCTTAGATGTAGGCACTATAAAATGGCTCTCTGAAGGCCTCGTTAATCACGCCAATAGACAATAGGACCATCCAAGTCAAAATATGGAGAAGAAATCATATTATTATACTATGTTTGAGACAAAGGAGTCCAAATTAGCGACTTTGTTTATTAATCATTTTCTTAGGTGAAATTTTTTAGTTTTATTCTGGTTAATTAAATTTTTTATTATAAGAAAATATTTAGAAAATGATTCCTACAAATGACGCTGAAAATGACAGACCAAATTCCTCGTATGCTCACCGAATTGCTTCACCAATTGCGATGACTCCCGCACCGCCAAAAATCGAAATAATATTTCTCAATGAACTTCCACAGGAATGCTTTTTGAATTCCTATTTTTTGGTTGCTATCAAATTTATTGAGCAAAATAGCCGTTCAAAACATTTCGCTAAAACTATTCAGTTTGAAAGCAGCCGTATCATTTTTCTTTTAAGAGCACCCACCATGTTAGTTAGACTCGCTCCTCTGGCTTGCCGATCTGGTGAAGTATGCTAGGGAATCCTTGGCGATAGAATTGCGAGTGAATCGCCAACATGATCTGGATTTTTGGACAAGATTACTCCTGGTGGGAATAGAACCTCAGCACTGTCGTTCCGAATTGAGCAACAACCCACTGAGCCACTCTGTTTTCTTCCGATAGGCGACATTGCCACCTGACGAAAAGTGGTTCATTGGTGGATTCGAACCCAAGTCTCAATTCTCGATGGCACGTCACTGAGCCACCAACATACCCGCGAAATCATATGTATTTTTTATCATATATTTTTTTTTTAAAGAGTCCTCACCATTACTGGTTAAACTCACTCCGTTAGCTTGTCGCATTGGGCATTATGCCAGGGAGGTACCTTGGCGATAGAAATACAGGTGAGTCGCCAGCATCACCCGGATTTTTGTACAGATTTAATCCTGCAAGGAATCGAACTTCAGCATCGACGCTCCAAACTGAGCAACAACCTACTTTATGTTAAGGACCTTATTCAAGACCCGTAGGAAATCATATGTATATATATATGTTTATATATACTTTCTCACTCCGTGTGGGTGGTATGAATCTTTGAAGTATGAATCTTTCTCAATCTGTGGTCCTCTACCAGAGTTTTAAGGGCTTAAGGAGGTTCCATTCACCATCTTAGCTGTTCCTAAGATAATAATAACAGTTAAAGTTCCTAACAGTTCGCTCTTCCGAACAGAAATTTCTGATGTTTCTAGAATGTTTGAATCACTTTTCCAGCTTAGGTCGCCATGTGATTCACTGGCAATAACTAGTAATAATTGGCTTTTACCATTTTAGCCTTCACTTTCCACACCTTCTTTAGTTCTTTTTCCAACCACTGTCATTTCTCTAGCTTCTCATAATCCTTCTTCTTGGTGGTCCTGTCATTTGGCACTGCTATATTTATCACCAGTACTAATTTCTCGTTCTTATTCACGATATCTAGTTGACTACCCAGTACTTGATTTTTTGGGTGGAGAACTAATTTCCTCTACGATTTTCTGGTGAATCTCCCAACTAATCATATAGTTCTCTTGGATAGTTCTATAGTTAGTTCTATTGGGGTAGCATATACGACTAAACCATGGTGTTTGCCAATGTATATAACAATTGGCCTTTCCTTTAATTTTTCCAAATTTCTTTTCAACCATTTTTTGTATCCTTTTGTTGGACATTCATATCATTTGTAGTCAGAAATGCAGAAATTGGGGGAGGGGAGGGGGAGGGTGAGGAAGTTGCATTAGAAAATAAACTTTTGAGAATTCTGTTGATCTAACCTTTTTTTTAGAAATTTCAATGTCCAATTTGTTCTCAGGTTCTTCGTTCACCAGTGGTATTATCCTGTGGTGATTTGGTTTGTGCATCCTGCCTTCTTGAGATCAAGTATTATATTATATCTATTAGATGGAGACTCATCTTCAAGACGAGCAAACAAAATTTTTATTTTCATTAGAGATTTCCATTATTTTCGTTGAGATTTTCATTAAGATTTTCATTAAGACAAATAAATATTTCAGTTTAAGTAAATCATGTAAAAAAGATTTAAAAGATATGAAACACATTTGCTTGACACCATCCTCGCACCATTTCCGAAAGGCTGTAATATTTCCTTCACAAGTTTTCGAACCATATTCAAACTGCACTCGCAAAATACTTTAAACTCTCTCATTATCATCCAATTTATTTCATTCACTTCCTCAACTCTAACAATTGTTTTACCTTTCCCTTCCCTCTCTACAATCTTTATAACCTATAATTTGCTGTCCTATTGGCAGAGAGGAGTTAATCATTATAATTTATATGAAGTGGCGTCGAACAGTGGGTGCAAAAGCTATTTTTTAAGGTCAGATCGTGAACCATCATCCTTTTCTTAAGTCGTTATTATTATTTGTAGTTTCTTGACAGATCCTGTGGCTATTCATGTCCAGTTGCTTGTTTTTTTGTTGTTCATCAGTAAAGCTCTTGTTGAATCATATTCTTTCCCTCGCACCATTTTTGATTAATGCTTATTGCTTCATCGAGACCCATTCTTCATTAACTTTTGCAACCTCAAAATAGTACTTGCTCATACTTGTACTTATTCGGCAGAATGAAGTGAGCCTACATTTTAAAAATAAATCAAATCCATTGTAATAACGACAAAAAATAAAAAAATTTTTTTGGAGATTAAAAAATGCAGCAAGAGAAGAGAGATAGGAATGATTTTAAAGATTCAAGGATATAATGAAATTGAAGGTAATAAAGGGGAATGATTGAATCTGAAGGAATGTGAACGGAAAAACGGAAGGTGATTTAATAATAATACCAAGACTTTAAGAAAGAATGATTTTAGAATGGAATATAAGTGGGTTTGAAAAGGTTTTAAGAAACTAGAGTGAAACACAATGACATGAAACTATGAGAATGAGATTTCGTGGGTGTTGAGGAGTAAGGAAAAGTACGGGACTTGACGGAGCGTTGAGGTAACACAGGCTATTAATGGATTGAAAATGAATTTTAGGAGTAGAGCTAGTGTAAAGGGAGGGACCAAGGATTTTAATAATGGATTATGGCAGAAATGAGGCGACATTAAATTTATCTGGGCAGCTGAGTGTTAAGGAATAATAGCCACTGAAAATTTGCTAGGGATTTATAACAAGGACTAAAAGTGTTACGATGCTAGGCTTGAAGGGATGCCACCTAAAAGTCCACGATGATGGTAGGATACTAAATGAAATAAATGAGATTTTGTAGTTGTTGAGAACCATTTTATGGGATTTTCATCATTTAACAAGGTTCGAGGAGACCTTCCATAAAATATAAAAGGTTTTAGAAAACATCAAAAGGCTTCAATTTTCAACAATTTCGAAGGTTGAAGCTCTTTTTTTTCCTGGACACACTACAAACTCATAGGCAATAAATAGCATAATGAACGCACAGACACTTGCGAAATCAAGCGTATCATTAAATATAACATGAAAATTTTTTTTTCCTTCAAAATTTCCACGCATTTCAGGTCAAATCAATGTCCATTGTGTGGTACACCAGTCGACATAAATCAAGTTAATTCCGATTTTGAATTTTTTTACTTGAATTATCTCCTTAGAATAGGAGGAATAATTTAGGTCAGATTAAGTTTATAGTAATATCATCAAAGTACTGTAAAAATCCGCTGTTTCACGGGGCACCAAATATTGATAACTTTGGTTACAAAAAGCCCACAAAATTTATAAAAAAAGTTTTAAAAGAAATATGCCTAATCTTTTACCAGATTTGTATTCGGCGCAGATTTTATATAATTATATTTTTTATGAATTTTTATAAATCTAAATATATTTTAATAAATTTTTTTCGTAACAAAATTCAGTTCAATTTTCAAAATTTAATTTTAATTAAATTTTATTAATTTTCCGCTTTTTTTATACAGATTGACTTAGTTCATCATTTTATGCACATAAAATTTACTAAAAAACCCAAGAAAAATTCATCTAAATGAATAAAAAAATTTAAAATAAATGATAAAATTTTGATATATAATAAAATATGTAATCCAAAAATTAAAAAAAACTTGATTAGGTGAAGAAGGATACAAAAACACAGCGAGAAATTCAAAATCTTATGGTAAAATGTAGTTTTTATGATAATCTGTGCCAATGGACTGGAAAACTGAAAGAATTACAAGTAATATTTATTAATTATTAATTAATTTATTAACATATTGCAAAACTTAGACCTGGGCCGTCTTCACTGATTTAGGTTTTCTAAATCAGAACCTTTCATAGATTATAATAACTTTATCCATTGGCTTAGTGGGTTGTTGCTGAATTCGGAGCACCGATACTGATGTTCTATTCTCTGCCCAAAAATTCAGATGAATCTGACGACTAACCTGTATTTTTATCATTAAGAGACTCCTTGGCATATTTGACCAGTGCAAAAAGCAATCGGAGCGAGTTTAACCAGTTATGGTGAAAACTCTTAAAAAATATATATATGTATTTAACATGTGACTGTTCGCAGTCTAATTTGGAACTTTTATATCACTCCTCGGTGATTTTTTAAATGAAAGCACGAAAGTTGGATTGATAGCTCTACAAATAATCCGTGCGTTTATTTCGCAGTGCAAATCTTCAGTACTTATATTTTTCACCTTGTCCCATTTCTCTCTATCTGGCTCTGTCCATGTATTCTGGAACTTTTCTGCAAAATTCACCATATGTAGCTCATTTCTGTCACCCCAAGGTATTCCTTCCAATAAGCATTCATCCATCTCCTAACAACATCATTTTACACCAATCTCATATTAACTTTCTTTTAAATTTTTCAGTAAATTTTAATATAATTCATCAAATTACAACTATAATACAACTTTAAAATCTTCAGTATCATGTATTCGATTGTAAGTATGCGGATGTTGTATGTCAGCGGGGTTGTGGGCAAATATATATAAAAATGAACGAGCAAAAGCATCTTAATGAGGATTGCGATCGGAGAATGGGCAAATGCGAATTTTGCGAGAAAGAAATAGCACTAAAAGGAATGGATATTCATTTAAAGGTGATCGATCATCATAGTGGTCCAAATCCAGTTTTTTTTTTCGTGTGAAAAACCGCATTTCAACCAATAATAGTTTTTTTCTGCCACATCGTGAATACCATTTTTCGTTTAGGTTTGCCCGGATTATATAATTGACTGCCCGAATAACTGCGGTCTTAAAGCTGTTCCACGTGAAAAGGTCCATTTTATTTCTTTGAAATTAATAAAACAAACATGGAATTTATATCGAATAAAAACAATTCTCATATTTTCCATCAAACAAAAAGTTGAAATAATTTAGATTAAACAACATTTGCCAGTTTGTGTTAATGCTGGCGCTGCTTGCCCATTTAATGAATTCGGTTGCGATTACATGGGAGGTCTTGAAAACCTTCAAGAACATATTAGAAATAAACCAATTCAACATTTAACCCTTCTTTGTGATGGAGTTCTCGATCTTAAGGTAGGCAATTTTTTCTTCTAATATTTGGTTTGGTCAGTTCCACTGATAGTTAGGATAAGATGTATTTGCGAGAGAGAGAAAAGCATTTGGAGAAAGAAGTGCATCTGGCTTCCTCGACTTCATTCCTTATGAGGTTTTCTGCCATCGACATACGAGCCAAATTCTCAATCGAAGCACTACATTCCATACTGTTCGAGATAAGGTTGCTGATAACTTATCGGTCATAGATTTGGAGATGTAATGGTGTTGATTTAAATATACAGCTTTAAGTTTTCAGATACTAGAAATACTTCGGTTATCGACAAAATTATTTCTTCTACTTGTAAACTGCTTATTTATTTAATTTAGTTACTGAAGCAAAGTAACCAAGTATTTAACGCAGATCGCAAATCGACCATCTCTGCTCACTTTAAATATAGCAATTTATAGATGTTACTATTTAACATGGAAACGATCATGGAAATGCTGGTATGTAAAATGGATGCATTGCAAAGACGAGTAAGTTTGCAATTATTTCTCTTCTCTTAGCTGAACTTTCACGAACATTTCAAAATGAAGAGAACAATTTCAGACTGCTACACTAGAAAAACTCTATGGACCACAGACGATATGGCGTATAGACAATGTGAAGCAGAAACAAAATGAAGCTCGATCAGGTGCAAAAACCATGATTTTCTCGCCACCATTTATTACAGGACGACATGGATATAAAATGTTTTTAAGCGCATCGCTTTACGGTGATGGACCAAGTTAGTTGCTAGTCCATATCGATTAAACAGTCCTCTTTCAGGGGATTTGTTTTTTTCGACTGGGCTATAGTTTCACTCATCCTGGACAATCCTATCACCTTGCTATTTTATTAAATCTTTTGGTTTTTAATGGCTCATGCAGAAGATTATTTCGCCATTTTCAAATACAGCTGTTTCTATTAAAAATTCCAACAAATTAGTCTCAAGCAGATTTCCTAGTTTCATTTTTTACTTTTGACTTAATTTCATTATCATTTTGAGATTATCGAAATTTTTGCAGGAATCGAATCTGTAATGCTTCATTTTCAGTAAAAAGTTCATAGAAAAATTTTTTAGTACGTGGTCAGTATATGTCAGTGTTTGTTGGTATCATGCGCGGTGAATACGACGCACTTTTGGAATGGCCATTTACCCATAAAGTAACAATCACATTAATGGATCAGGTTCGTCATGGGTTTTACAAACAGTTTTTATCTATCTAGAAATCACTATATATCAAAATGTATCAACTACAATACTCTTTTAAATTTATTGGGCAGTGACCACAATCTTTTGGACTAAGATGGAAAGGAAGCAAAAAATGGTTAATAGCTTCACATAATAATCACATAAACCAGGATATTATTTTCAATTATCTATTAATTAATCTAAACTGATGCGAGTACCTTGCAGTGTTAGCTTCATTAGCACCTTATCGCTTTTTTCTTCATAAACTGATAATATCAGCACAAATAATTTATTTGCAGAATCCTGATGTAACGAATCGCAATGATATTTCGTATATTATAAAGCCAAATCCACTGCCAGCATATAAAGCATATTTGGATCGACCAGTTAGTGAACGAAACGCATCGTTTGGAGCTGTAAAATTCTGCGAGCTCGAAATACTCGACAGATATATACGTGATGATGTTATCTATATTAAGGTCAACGTTGATACCGATAGCGAAAAATATGAACAATCAAGTGAAGCGTTTATCAGCCAAATGAACAAAAAAAGTCAAACAAAAACGCTGACTAGCAATAATACGGTTGAAACTAAAAATAAGATCAAGGAAATTCAGCAACTTCTTAAACCGGCCAACCAGGTACCAATCGAAATAAACCAAAAACCTGACAATAATTGGTCCGATGTAATCACAGACCAACCCAAATCAGTTAATTATACTCATTTATACAACCAATCAAGCGTATACAATCCGCAGTGAACGAATATAGCAGTGAAAGGACCGTTTTTTTTTTTTTTTCAAAACTTTCATTAGCTCTAATTTAAAAATATTGGGAAAATCTGGAATCGTAACAAATCTATCAGATCTTCTGTTACGTAATTGTTTATTTGTTTCGACCACACAGAGCAATGACGTTAACCTAATAAATCCCTTGGAACCGAACGCAGAACCAAAGAAATATATCACAAATTTATAAAACTATCTTTATTTTTCTATTTACAAGAAGCACGCGGTTGTTTTATTTCGTACTCACTTCAATAAATATTTTTAATATAGTTTATTCTTTATTTATTCACATATCCCTTACTTCTTCCATTCATGTGACCATGTGTATTTCCTGAAGAATATAGTGAAAAAAACTATTCAGTATGGGGACTGTCCTTAGGATTGTCGTGAAATTCTTGGGACACTATTTGGACGCTACTTGTTACTAATGATGTACCATTATTACCATATCACTCTATCTGATTCTTTAAAATCACTTATCATCTTTTTATTCCACTATAATTTAGTTTTTAGTTTTTTGTATGAAAAATATAAAAATAAAAACATCTTCTTGAAAAAAAATTCAGCACACAATACTGTACAATAGTACATAGTACATAGCAAGCATAAGAGTATATAACTGTACTATAATAAATAATAAATAAACATTACAACAGAACTTAGTACAAAAATAAAAGAATATCGAAATATGATGAACTAATTAAATTGAAAGATCCATTTAAAAGATTTACCAAAAAATTTGAAAAAACTGAAAAAATTATCTTGGAAATCTTCAGCAAACTAGTAAACTGGCAATTTTCGTAGTGATACTAGTGATAAAAATAATGAGAACAAAAAATAAAAAATAAAAAATATACAAAAAACATAAAATATAAACCATGAACAATAATAACTTCTAACTTTTTTGATAACAACATCATTAATAATTATATTATAAATATTATATATAAATATATAAATAAATTATATATAATAAATTAATCATATTATAATAACTATATAGCATAGCATAAATCATGCTATGTTACTTAACACCACGTCGAATGCAGCTATTAGTCAAGTTTTAAGCTTTTCGTAATTTTTCTATTGAATTACGAGCTTCCTTGAATTTCCAGAGCATCAACTGAAAAATCAACTTTATTCTTATTAATTTTATCCAAATTTTATTAAATCTCACAGTCAAATGGTGTGTTGCTTCGATTATGATTATTCTTAGGCTCCTTGAATAAAAATTTTCAAAATCAAACAAAAAGCACCGATGTTTTGCTGAATTTCAATTCTCAAAGAATAATAATTTTCGAATTTTCCTCAAATTAAAATAATAGAAAAAATAATAATATGCTGCTTGCTAAATTAAACAGTAATATAATGTAAGATATAATGAAAGTATTTTTCTATTTTTCTAAATAAATCAAAAGTTTAACCTGCAAATCGTTAATATCACAACTAAAAGAAATTCGATCAACGGATACAAAGCCTGTCGCCACAGTATCGAAATGCATTTCCACCACCACGCCTTTCTCTTTCCCTTTGTTAGACTAAAAAAGTTTTCCTTAAATTAAATTTAAAAAATGAAGTAATGAAATTGCCGGTAAAAAATTGAAAAATTTCAAAAAAAATTTTAAATTCATGTCATACGCTTCTAGCAAATATAAGATAACTGATCATTGAAACTTCTTTGATTTTATAACTCAATCAATATTCTTTAACAATATCTCAATACTGGTTAGCTCCACTTATTACTCGAGTAAGAACCATTTTCAAAAGAATCGATTCGAAAATATGTTTCGTAATAGAATATTAGAAAAGATATAAAATTACTATCATTATAAAATATGGATTGAAGCCATGTTTCTTATTCAAAATCGAAAGAGAAAAAAGAGAATTTGTGAAAAAAGTCGATTTTTTGATAAAATGAAATCAAACTTTAAAATTTTTCAGCAAGTTTAATATAAGTAGTTTCAACCAACTTCAATTATTTGCGATAATTTCCAATCGAAATCGATCACCTCAGGCCATTCCCATCCTATACTTGCCATTACTTCTTTTAGTCTAGGGCCATGCATCTTAATTAAAGGAAATATAATGAAATAAACTGTTTCGAGATCACCAATACAGCTGAACGATATGATTTAACCGAATTTAACCGATTTAACCGAATTTTAGAAATTGACAGAACAATCTTCTGAAGATATTAACAAAGATATTAATATTGAGATGCAACTTTATTCGAGAATGTATTGTAATTATATACGCATAATCAGAATCACCAGAACTTGGGATGAATTACAACTTCGAGAAGTCGTCAGTGGACGTTTTATCGTATTTACACTAATGATCTCGAAAGGAAATAAATCTTGCATAACTAACTTTATTTAAGATTGGTTTTCACTACCCCTCATTATGTTACATTATCTCATTGCACGGACAGTCAACCCCTTCTGCTTTTCATGACCTCCACCCTCTCTTTATCTCAACCGCAATGTCTGATTGTCCTTTAATGCTATATAAATATCTGTTCGTATTACAAAAAGATATACAGAAAACGGATCGAAAAATTTGTAAATTACTTCATAATTCCTGACTATTTCATCTTTCAATCTACTGTTTGGAAGCAAATCTTTCATTGCGCCTACTTCTAATGAACGTTTTGTAGCTTCAATAAAAACAGACCAAACTATCTGAGCAAATTCAAAGTTGCAAAGTGATTCGTCCCCTGAAACATTAATAAAATAAAGATAGATAAGGTTTAAAAAATTCAATAAGAAGATGCTAAATTTTTTAAGATTAAATTTAAATTTTGTTTAAATTCCAATTTAAATATTTTTAAATTTTATTTACATAATTTATTTCGAATATGATTTTAAAAATGTTTTATCTTCTTCTAATAAGAATTGCTGTAGTAAATTTCGCATAGATTATTAATTATAGAGTGTAATACCACATAATATCAAATATTTTTCATTTATTCACCGCTAATGTTCATAAATCTTTTTCGCTACCACAGCATTCCAAGATTTACTAATAACGCAAGAAATGAAAAAGACCACTAACACTTTGAACAATTATCTTCAAGCAGATAAAAGCACAATTTATCACAAAGCTCGTTCAAATTCTCCATCTGTTCCGAATCACCCACTACTTTTTCCATAGAATGAATTATACTTTCAGGCAGTGCCATAGTCTTTATTCCACTATAAAATGGTATTGAATTTGAGCGATTATTCTACAAAAATGAAGAAGCATGCAAAGATATTTCAGCCTGAAAAATTGTTATGAATGATTTTCAAATAATATAAGATTTTTAGGATTTTTAGGAACCATTCACAATTATTTTTTCGGTACGATGTTATTTAATATTTATTCATATTTATTTAATATTTAACATTTATTCACAAAATTTATACAGGACAAAAAAATGAAAATCTAGACTGCTAGTGTACAACACGCGGTATACTCAGCTGTAATTCCACTATCAGTAATTTATTACATCTCGTGCAATCTGTTAAAAAACCTACATCGTTGGCTTTTTTTGCGCCATTTAGGCACAAAATTATACCTTCAACCCGAAAATGCGCTAGCAACAATACAATATAATATAATATACAACAAAGAAAGCAGTAAACTGTATATTATATAGAAATGATTAAAAAATACTAATAAACAACAAAAAAGTGTGTTAGTTAGGAGTACTGCACAATTAACCTAAAGATATTTGAATTGAATTCTAAATTCAATTTAATTCTCTTAAAATTCTATATATAAATTCTTTTAATTCTGAATTTTTAATTCTGAAAAGAAAAATCTCGAAGGAACATTAAGCAAAAATTCCCAATTTTTGGAGAAATATTTCAAATTATCAGCAATAAATAAATTTGGCCCAAATGCGCCTAAAACCATGGCGAAGAGTTCCAACAGCTTCAATAATCGGAATTACCACAAAGGATTTTTTTATGTCAAACGAATTCGGCAAATTGTCTAGATTTATGAAATTTTAAGATGATTATAACATACATTGCAAAATATAATAGAGCTATGAAACCTTACGCAGTCGAAGCAAAAACTTATTGCGCTTTCACAATCACAATTTATAAGCGCTATTAGCTTTTCAAATGTAAACGAGAAAATTTTAAATTAAATTGAAATTTTTAAAATTTAAAATTAAATTCAAATTTAAATTAATATCAAAATAATGCATCTATAAACACTATACAAAAAAATATACGACAGATTCGTTCAATTCAAGTAATCAGTGTTGTTAGCATAGAATATAGATTTGTGCCGCATACTACTAAAATTTGTTTTTTTGTTCTTTGTTCTAACTTCTTGAGTTTCAATTTTCTGTTTCTTTTTTCATATTCCTTATTTCTTCATCGATGCGTTCTTTTGCACGGTAGACCTAAGCTTTGGAAAATATATTCAATATAGAAAAATATAGAAAAAAATATACTCAATATAAGATAATATATTCATTTTTTAAAACAGATTTTGCGCAACACCAATAATTTATCAACTTCATAAACAAGATTTACTGTTCTAAAACGCTGAAATCATTCTAAATTTAAAAATATCGAAATATCGAGAAATATATATAATAATTTTCCTCAATTTAAAAATTTAAAAATTAGATAATGTTGGCTAAAATAAATGAAACAATGATTTTTCACCTAGTTAATTAATTAAACAGTTAATTAAATGAAGTAAAGACCAACCTTCGATTGTAAATATAACGTTCCACCTCTTGATTTATCATTGATTTCAAACAAATGCTTGTAATTCTTTTCAACTTCTTCAGCGTTTAAAGGATCACTGACGTTCAAAATTTTAATCGCTTCCTTCAATCGTGGAAAATGAATCCTATGCTTGAAACCGGAAGAAAATATAGTGATAATAAAAATTGCTTAAAATTAGGTAGAAATTTCGCGGAAAAATGATGATAAAAGAAAATTAAAAAAGCATACCTGTAAAGAAATTCCAAGGCGCGAATTTGTATCACTAGCTATTTTGGCTTCAGCCTGAGATGCTCCAATCTGTTCTGCATGTCGCGATGCTGCTTGTTTGCCCACTAAAAAATATTTCCGATATCTATTTGACTGTAAGTTTAAAAAAATTAATAATCTTCCATCACAATCTTCTATTATTCTATTCTATCATCTTCTATTATTCTTCTATTATTCTATTATTCTATTCAAAAAGCATTAATAATTATGTCGTTAAAACCCTGTAAAAACAATGCAAAACAATAAGAAGTGGGCAATCGCAGAAATATATTATGATAATAAAAATAATATCCTGCGCGATATAGTTATGAGAGGCTAAGAAAGAGGTTCGACAGTAGGCTTAGGGTTTACTTCCTTGTCTCGATGCAGCATGCATCTCGAGCCTGAAGCTCTGGATTTCCTAGAAATTAAATTTTGTAATGGGATGTGGTATAGAATTCCCAGCCCATCAATAGCATGACTTACCCAAAAGCCACGCAATGATAATAATCATTACAATCACCAAATAACACTTTTTATCTACCGAAAAATCGATTATGATATTAACATAATAGCAAAAAAGATGATAACAATACTGTTAACAGTAAGACGATTTAATAAAGAAAACTTACTTTGGAACTCTTCTCTAACAGCTCGGGCAAATGCTTTAGTAAGTGCCTCACCAGCGGCTACAACAATTTTTGCAGCAGCTCTCCACGCCATTTACCTGAAAATAAAATAGCACAGTAAAGATAATCAAAAAGACAAAAAAAACGATATCTTTTCGAATAGTGCCGATAAATGATGGCTAATCGACAAGATGCTAAGTTGTGGACATTGCAATCTCCTGGGGCACCAAAGCGAAATAACTGGGCACTGGAAACTAAATAAATTCATATACTGAAAAAAAGAAAAAATAGGAATCAAAAAACCGGAAGCAAATCAAATTAACTTCATCAATTAATTTTACTTCATTAAAATTTGCATAAAACCTTGGGCCTTTCGCAAATTGTGCCCAAAAAAACCCAGAGACTATGAAAAGTTATCCCTTTTAAATCCGGCCAATTTCTTCGCGAGCACTGAGCTTCATTAAATTCCAACAATCCATACAAAATGGGAAAGCAATAAATGCTTTAGAGTATAAAGGAAATAAACTGAATTTCACCAATACCACTGCCGCCGACAACAATCGCCAAAGATGGATAATTCATAAGTCAAGTTTCCCTTCATTTTCGTATAACATTATGATTCGATAAATATTAATAAAACGAAATAAAAATTGATTAAAATTAAAATAAGAAATTCGAGATTTATAATAAATTTTATTTATAATAAATTTTTATAATTTTTAGTATTTTATATATTACATTAAAATAAATTTTAAATAATTCATAAAGGCAAAACAAAAATCTAATTTATTTAGAAGATCAAACACAAAAGTACAAATAGCACAATAATACAAATATAAATAAATTACTAAAACAATAAAATATGAAAAAACGAAATTATCGCGCGAGTGAAAATGGATTGGCGACGTGCTTGTGTGGAAAGCCAAATTCTTATTTCTCATTTCATCGGAATAATCTTTAAGAATTCGAGTTTTTTGCAAAAAAGAATGTAAGAAATCTTAGAATATGTGGAGAGTTTTTGCTTTATTAGCAAATTTTTTAAAATTTACTTCATTTCTTTCCTATCACTTTTGAGGTTACTATTTATTCCTAAGAGTCTTATCATTGATATCACTTATCACACTACAAAGTTCTTTGGAAAAAAATTGTTAACGACAGTTCTTCCCTCAAATACCTAAGGCGAATTTCTCGCAGCTGCACATTAGAGAATCGATCGCATTTTTTAAACATTCGGCTTTCTAGGAGATGGAAAATCTTTTCGAAACATTTACTGCTCGATTAATCGTTGTTTAGAACTATTTGAAATATTCATTTGCTGCTGGTGTTCGTTGTATTAAAATATTTATAATAATTCTTAATATTTAAAATAGAAGGCGTAAAGGCAAAAGCCAAAAAAATACATGGAGCGCGGCTACTTTTCGGCTCGGCCACTATATCTCGGCCGAAGTGTGTAACTTTTCGCGTATTGGATGTAATTCCTCGCTTTCTTCGGCGAGGTTTGCTGGTTCGCTTGAATAGGCGAGGAAAGGACGTTGAAATCTGCCAGGGTTCATTTATTAGTCGGTAATATTTATAACGTTTACATTTGAACTTTAAATTTTGTGATTTGCTTTGGCTTTTGTTTATTTCTTTATTTTCACGTTTTTGCTTTCAATAAATAATTTCTTAGATTAAAACTTTAAAAATTTAAAATTTAATTTTTTAGATCTAAAATTTACAGTTAAATAAGTGAGGAAATAAGTTTTCAATAATTATAAATAAATAAGAAGAAAAGCAATATAGCGGTTGAAGGGCAGTTTGCTGCGCTGTGGTTCAGTGCTTCCTCGTTGCGTTTTATTTTTGCTCGTTTATTCCGTTCAGCGAATCCGATCAGATCTAACGAGTTACTGTCGATTTATGGTCAAATTTAGTTCGAATTTAGTTGAACGTCAGCTGAATGAACCGAATATTGTCATCGGTGAAATATTTTGATAAGTCGAAACTGCTTGCGCGAAATGGCAATGACATTGAGCAAATTCGAAAGGTTTCTGTCTTCTTAAAGAAACAATCAAAAATTGATCCAGAACAGGCGAAATTGCGCGAATTGAGAATGAGGTTGTGAATGAGCTTTCTTATTTTTATTTTTTTCTGCATTTCCGTTTTACCGAAAAAAATAACGTAGAAACTAACGTAGAAACTTTCGTTCAGTTCTCTTTTTTTGAAGCTTCGTAGATTTCTATTTCTTTCAGTTTTCTGAAAAACTGAACTTTGCCAGGAGAAATTGGGATTAATCATATATTTTTTAAATAACAACAAACTTATATTTTATATTTATATTTCGTTCTTTTTCTTCAAACTGTTCTCAGAACTGTTTTCTGAGTTCATTAATTTTGTTAATTTTTGTTAATTTCACTGTCTTTTAAAGTAATGCCATAGAATCACAAAAGGTGGTTGGACTTCCAGAACCTATTTCACTCTTTTAATGACCGATTTGCTTTCGCCAAGAGATATTTTCATAGTCAAAAATTAACAAAGTTGATAGTGGAAAAATAGAAATAGAAAAATTTTCGACGAAAGAGATTATTTTACATCTTATTTTTCGGCTTTTTTATAGAAGGAAACTGGAAAAAGAAATTCGTCAACTGAAATTACACAGTAAAAAGCCTAAACCTATAATGGAATTAACAATCGACATAAAATCGGCAAAAAACATTGATGAACGCTATCGACCGAAATCTGTGGTTGGTTCATGTATTTCATACATATAATTTAATTTACATTCTTTTTTTTCGTGTCTGCCTTTTTTTATTCCTTTATCATTATTTTATATTTTTTAATCTTTTATTATGAATGTTTTTGTTAATTTTTAAATGTTTTTTTACTTTACTTTACTATAATATATATAATATATTTTTTATCCGTTTTTTTAAATGCTTTTCGGATGCTTTTAAGTTCAAGTTACCTTCCATATTATTTAATAATTTTAAAAATTTCTGATATATCATATCTTAACCTTTCAAAGTTTTTTGGTTCGGTGTTCAGTTTTACTCTTTCAAGCTTTTTAAGATATCCGATGATGAGATGGAAAAACGTTATATAGCATTACGGGATTATAGTTTTTCTCGCGCAGCGTTGATGAGATTGGATGAAAAATGGATACGGCAAAGCATCGAAAAACAAGAAAAAGCACTTAAAGAATTGAAAGTAATCAATGAACTTTTTATATTCTTGCTATTATTTGTATTATTATATTAATGGTGGGTAACAATTTCCAGTTGAATCGTTATCATTTGGTGCAGCTAATTGGTATGATTAATTTTAGCTTCTTTCACTGGATCTTTATGAAGCTGCAATACAACCGGATCATTCTATCGATGATGGAATAATTCTCAATGGTCCGACATTAACACCTCCTTTAACGAATTATGAACCTCCTGACGGCGATTATATTGATATCACTAAGGAATGGGTATGATATGAGATCAGTTAAGACAGCCAAAATGTATAATGGAATAGTTATGGTTCGTTCAATTATTAATTAGTAAATTTAAACTTTATTTTCTATTTTTTTTCGCTTTTTTAACTATTATTTTGCTACATGTCTGGCAATAAATGTATATAATATGTAATATGTGTATGGTTTCAAAGAAATAAATTTTAGAAAATTTTGTCTTCCCATTGATGAAATTTTATCGTTACTTTTCACTTGTTAGGTTTATTTTCTGTCATGATTTAATGTTTCCATTTAAGTGATATGGCAAATCGTTGAAGCAATATGTATTGGAAAGCAAACAAAATGAGTGAAGGACCATGAAGTATGCGTAATGGCGAAATAAAACTGATTTCAATTGCTCTGTTAATATCATTTAAGAAAAACGCAAAAGGACCATTTGTGATTTATGTTTAAATGAAATTGCGAAACCATTTTGGCTTCAAAATGCGTAAAGGAAAAGATTTATTGAATTGTTTTCTCATTTCCATAAGGTCAACTAAGCAATTGCTGCCGCAAGAGAAACTGGCAACATAATTTGTTCAATTACATTTTTTTCGCATCTTGAACCAAGGACTAAATGCCGTGGTTTACATCAGTGAAAAGATTTAAAAATTTGAAAGAGGTCCTTTTTGGCTTATTAAACAAGTTAGCTTTAGAGAATAAAATAATTGGAGAATAATCTGAAATACTGGAATTTAAAATGTACTGACACCATTAAAAAATGTATGAAAAAGATGGAATTTTCAAACCCGCTTTTGAAGGATTAATAGAAAACCTGCATGGAGTATGCACGTTATTGTAAATTGCTATAAACTATAAATAATTCAACCATTATTTAAATTGCAAAGGAAATTTCATGATATTAAATTTGCTGAGCCAGAGGATAGAAAGTCATATGGGATTTTTTTAGCATATATTTCCTCCGTGCAGCGTGCCATTTGGCTGAGTCTAATAATTGTTAGAATTTCCAAGCCTTTGAATTTGACGCCATATCCGAAGTTATAAATAATAGAGCATGAAAAGATTGCTAATATTTTGTGCAAATTTTTTCTAAGGAATGCTCGATATCATCCAATTATTTGAATTTAGGCTGCAAATTCTAAAGTACTAATCAGTGCTGATAAATTGATAAAGAAATTGGAGAAAGAGAAAAAAATTTTGTTCATAATTTTAAATAATTGGCAAAGATGATAGATACATTTCGAACATTTGGCATTCCATCATAAGTTTTTATCAACATGAAGTAATTCATATCATTTTTGCAAATGTCTCAGCATTTTTGCCGTTTTTTTTTCAGTTAACATTCAACCGGTTTCGTTGAAAAATTCGTTTTTTTTAACCATTCTTCCTCAGTATTTATTAATTCTTACTCGAAATGGAATTTCGCTGTACTTGTCACCAGTTCACTGTTAAAATAAGTCGCACAAGTGAATAATTATATGAAGAATTTTTGTGGGAACTGGCTTCGTACATACAAAAATGAAAAATTTTTAGGGCGGAAACCTGTTAAATAAAAGCGATCGTATTCACATTTTCATCATCATAGCAAAATATTCTCCGTCGTCATGCACCTGCTTTCTCTAATTTTACTTTTTTCTTTAATGGTACTCGGATATTTTAAGAGAAGGCTTATTGCTGGCTTAATTTTGAATGATAAGTGATTTTGAGTTTAAAAGGCTGCCAGCCAAATTGCTGAAAACATTTAAGATTTTTGCGCAAAAACAACAGTACCCTGGAATAGTATAATGTGCAAATTATTTAGGTAGATAAATTCCCCTCACCTGTAGCTAATTTTAGGACTTCTCTGAAGAATTTTTTTCAATAAAGAATTTTATAAGAAAAATTACTTCATTTTAGTAATAAAATCTATTAAGCGAACAAAATTTTGATAATTTTTCTGGAAATATTCGAATTTTCCTCTACTGTTTCAGGAGATGTCTTTTCTTTTGATTACAGAACCTTTTTCTAAAATTTTACCGCAATATTTAAGGAATAAGCATGAGTACCAAACTGTTTGTGGGACTCGGCACAGCAGGAAGTATTTTTGTAATAATCATGTCTCTCTTGGCTGTAGGCGTCATTTATAACGATATCAATAATCTTTACGATGATGTTATGGATGAGATGGGTGAATTTAAGGTAAAGGAATTTCTTATTGTCGTTTGCTTTTTTATTTTTTAATTAATAATCTATATTCTATTTTATTACATTGCATTCTTGGCCAATTAGAAGAATTTATAAGCAAATTGATCAGACTTGGATTATTGATTCGATTTGGGAGGCAAGATTTAGATTCTGGGAACAAAGTCGGCAATTAGCAAGCAGCTACTTAAATTACTACTATTTTTTAAAGCTGAAAATAAAATTCAATATAAATTTCACTGAAATATCACCGAGAGAGGTATTTTATAAAAGGTTGTTGCTGATGACACATGGCAAAGGATTTTGTTGCTTCAAATGAGCTCAGGATCTCATGGCTCGAGTCCATCAGTAATGAGTATATTCGCTAGGCAAAAACGTCAAGGAGTCTTCCCTGAACATTGCAGTAAGATTTTCCTTCTTTTTCTTAATCTTCTTAAATGAAACAATTATTTCGCACAGCTCAGAAAATTCCTTAAAATTTTAAAAAAATTTGCAAATTCTTGGCGACTTCGTTTTCTTCTATTTATTTTACATGTATAAACTTTTTGATTTCGCGTGATAAGTAAATTTTGTTTTGTAAAACCGGTTTCGCATCAAAGGCAAAATTGATATTTATCACTTTAGCGAAATCTCTTTTTGAAAAATTTTTTAAAAAAAGGAATTTTCTAACTGATTTTTCAATCATTTTTTTTTAGAATTCAAGCATTTATTTCTTAAAATTTTTTATTTGATTTATTTCAATATTTTAGAATCTTTTCGAAACAAATTCATGCAAAATCATTGCAAAATTCATCTATTTATTGTATTTTTTTTCTATATTAAAAAAAACTTTTGCACAAATCTTTCAAAAATAGCTTCGTTTTTCGGCATAATACTTGTTGTTTAATAACTTTTAATTTATTTAGATTGCGCACCGTCAGCTGAAGGATGTCCACGAGGTCCGCCTGGACCACGTGGCGATGAAGGCGAAAGAGGGCCTGATGGACCGCCAGGTCAAGATGGACCAGTAGGACTTCCAGCTCTTCCAGTTCCAATCACTACGCCACCACCAATGGTGTGCATTGATTGCCCGGCCGGGCCACCTGGGCCACCTGGTATTATGGGAGAGCCAGGTGAACCAGGACCGCCAGGTCACCCAGGAATGGCAGGACCACCTGGCAGAAATGGCCCACCTGGACCTATTGGTCCTCAAGGAGAAGCTGGCCCACAAGGGCTAGAAGGACGACCAGGCCAACCAGGACCTCCTGGACGCGATGGCAAGAAAGGACATGGACTACCAGGAATGAAAGGACTTCCCGGTCCTCACGGCCCACCGGGACCTCCTGGAGCGGACGGCCAAAAGGGAGCAGATGGCGAAGCAGGCGATCAAGGACCAGCTGGGCGGCCTGGGCGCGATGGACGTTCAGGGAAAGATGGTCGGCCAGGACCAGTAAGAATTTTGAAGAAAAGTTTGAGAAATTTTTTTTTCAATATAAACTGTGATCCAGTGTTTATAAAATTTAAATTCAAATTTACATTTTCAAATTTTACATTTGACATAAAATAGTGAAAATAGTGTTTTCTGGCGGATATAAATTAAGTCCTTATTAATTTCCTGGTACAAGTTAAGTTTTCTTCAGGCTGGTGCCCCAGGTTTACCAGGACCAGATGCTCACTACTGCCCATGTCCAAGTCGCAGCGCAGCTTTTGTGGTTAAACCAGAGGCCACTCACCAAAATGGTCGTCGAAGTAGTGCCCGAAATGGCCGCACATATGGTCACCCAAGCGCTAAAATTCAAGATGTTCAAGACCTTGCTGGAACTGGCTATCGTTAATGTTCTCATGTCGCACAGAGAATTTATCCAAATTTCCTTTATATTTAAGCAAATATCTGAAATGGACTATTATGCTCCAAAATATCGTTTTTGCTTGCAATAAAAGAGTCTCACAATTTAAATCTTGAATAAATCTTGAATGGCATTGCAATTTCATCTATTAAAATTGGTCGACCATACCAACTTTATCGTTATCGCTATCATCCATATCATTTCATTCAAAATTTTTCTTTTGTCTCCTAAATTTGTTAAAATTTGTTACTGTATTATTCATTAAAGAATTTTTTGATTCAAGGCAATAAGAAGATCAGAAATTTCCAAAAAATGTCAGGAACAGTCGAAAATCGAAAACTATGTCCATATAAGATCAAAGGAAATAATTTATCGATAGTAGAGTGGTGTGTCGTTCAGCTAATCTATAATGGAATATATTTTTTTGAATGCTCACCATTTCAGGTTAGGCTCACTACGCTGGCTTATCGAGTCAGATATATTTGCCAAAAGGTCACTTGGTGATAGAAATGCAGGAGAATGGCCAGTGCTATCCAGAAGAAATGCAATATATTTTGTACCGTTTATTTCGTAAATTTATTACTTCTGAATCGCTACAAAAAGAGAAGAAATCGCAAGACAAAGTATATAACCACTTTATTACAATTTAACGAGAAATCAGCCAATGGTGATAGGTTTTTTCCTAAACAGCGCCCATAATTTCCAGCTAGGCTGCTATGTTAGTTCGCTTGACCGAGACAAATTTTACCATGGCAGCATCACTCCAGTTCTGGAAGAGTTTACTCCAAAAGCCTATATGGTCCTAGCTGAATCGGCTCCGAAATGAAAATTATAATCCACTAAGCAATTCCACCTTCTAATGTGAAAGGTGTAGATTTTTGAATAAAAATGTTGCTTTTGAGTATAATAAGATTGGTTATTGGTTATTACGATACAGAAAAATATCGTTTTTTGCCATAAATATTTTTTATTTATGTGGAGGTAGAATACAAATAAAATAGGCCGATAAATGGAAAAGAGAAATTATTTCTTAAAACAAATTAGTTTCTTAAAACGTTCCCGAAAAGGCTTAACGAAACATATCGACAGCAATGGATGAACGCATGGTTGCCAGTAAATTAAACCAACAACCAACGAACCATAATTACCGATTTCTATTGGTGTAAATATAAAAATAATAAAGCTAATAAATGGCAGAGTGGTAAAAATGATTGGTAACAATGCCTGAAAAATCAATTTTCTCGCATATTTCAAGCATGAAAAACCAATTAATTAGTTTAATCAAAATTTTTATTAACCAAAGTTTGTCGAAAAATTAATTTGAAAATTCTTTTTTCTTAATAAAATTTTAAAAAATTTGCGAGATAAAAAGCAACCTGTGGAACTAACCGAATCACAGATGGTTTCCACTAACAAATAATTTATTACTTTTTTCACTTCCTATATCAAAATATATCACTTTCTACTTCAGCTCGAAAGCTATCATAAAAGGCCAATTATTTCCAGCTTTGTAAACAAATATAAATATTTTACATTTAGAAAAATACTGGCTAATAAAATGGATCGAAATTGTAAAAATCACGAAAAATTTGAAATATTGGAGAATTTTGAAAAGAAGATAATTGACAAACCTGTAACATCATTACTTTCATCAACTGCCTTTGCAGCGAAAGAGTTCTTTGACTGAGATTTTTGCCGCTCAACTGCCGAAATATTTTAATGACGCATATTATTATAATTACATAGGAAATTATGCAGGAAGCGGCCAAAAGGCATCCGTAAATAAAAAGTCTAACGTGATCCTGAAGCACAATGCAATATATACAACTTTATAAGCCTAGTCCTAGTAAACCAATTTGGCATTAAAATACGTGGTTGAACTGAATAAGGAACAGATTTCTTCTACAGATCCAGTTTTATTCCTTTTCAACCAGCACAGTCAATCGTGCTGACGCCATTGCTCTATTGCACTATTTCTAGATTCATCCATGGTACCATGATCATTCAAGAACCAATTCATTCAATTCATATTTTTACTCCCGAATGGAGGGATACTGGCAACCAACCTGTACTTCTTCAACAGCCAAACAAAAATTTTTAGCTATACTAACAGCTGAATAAGCAGAAATAGTCAGTCTATAGGGCTATTCACTTATCCACTTAATTATAAACTAAATGGCTAAAAAAGTAAAGAGTAAAGAGTTTTGCATAAAAACTAAGTTGTATTATATAAATTTGTTATTAAATGGCATTCATCGCCTTGGAAGAAAACCAACTTTTCCATTTATTTTGACTAGAATCGCTCTATCTGTAATCCAAAAATTAGCATTTCCTGATGCTTCTTCATATTGTATGGTTTTTGCAATAATCAAGATAAAGGTTGCATCAACTATGAACAACGTTGTCACAAAAACTGGACAAAGTGGAAGTTTAAATAATCGCTGAATCGTTGCGTTGCTGCAAAAATAATAAAAATTTTAAGTTGAAGTTTATTTTGACAATGGTAAAAAATTTTGAAATCTCTGAAAACTGTTTTATGAATGAAAATATGTTTTCAACCGAAATGGCCTTGATTCGCCATTTCAGTAGTAGTTCAGTAGTAGTCATTATCAGTAGTCATTATTATTATCATTCGCCATTTCAATAGTCATAGCTAAATAAAAATTAGTCTAGCCATTATCCATTATCTATCTTATTTACATAGGCAAAACTGGATATATTAGTGAACGGAAGTTTTTTTTCTAACATCGTTCAGTTGTCTCTACTGGCTAATAGGATGGAATTCCATCGCTAGAGAATTATTTAAAGCACTAACAGGTTTACCTCTATCAGAGCTAGAGCTAGAATGAGCTAGAATGTAGTCGAAACATTAGACCCACACGGCCGACTCTAGACGACAAAGTGGAAACGAATGGAAGACTACGTTCATTATTAGTCAACTATTTGAGTATCGGAAGCAATCTGCCTGAAAAAAATGCCAAAGCATGAATGTTAGGTGATCCTAACTATCGGGTGTTTCGAAAAATTACAAAGACAGCAGCACGGCGGGATAGAAATCGCTGTTGGAGCAATATGGCCTTAAAAATGGAAAAGGGTTGATTAAGCGAATGAAAACTATTCCATTTTCCTAAGCAGCTATAAAGGAAAGGTTAGTGAAATGATAATGGATAGTAATGGTATGCCTATTAAGGATAAGGAATTCCTCCAAAGAATATGGATAAGGAAATCCTCATAAGGTGGAAGAAATTCTTTGAAGCCAAATTTGACCAGTTGATATTACTGAACCACTCGTAGAACTATATGCTTGCAACTGCGAACCATTAGCAAAACAGGAAATAATCTATCACCCAGAAGCTTAAGACAATAAAACAAAAAAACTCCCGAAGATGAACCGAATTCTTCAAATATTGTTCGTCGTCCTTCATAAAATATCTTCAATAAATGTACTCTCTGATATAAAAGAAATTACGCCAGATTACTGCACGCTGATAATGTAGTCCTTTTCCTTATGACAAAAAAAGATATGATGAAATGCAAATAATGCTCAATGTCAACTGCAGCGAGAATCGGACTCAGGATCAATGTAAATAAAACGAAGGTCTTTTTATCTTATATGCCAGAAGTTGATGAAATGTCTATTTTTATCAATTCAACGCCGGTTGAATGCCAGACTACGAAATTATAACCCATATAACGATAGCTGGAAATGCATTATTACGGTTGGTGACATCTTTATAGAGTTGCGAAATCACTATAAAACGAAAGTTCGCCTCTAGCTGCAATTCGCTCGGTCTTGCTATATGGCTTCGAAACATGGCCGATGAAAGTGGAGGATATTAAGAAGTTATCTAACTTTGATCACCCATGTCTAAGATACATTTTACAAACCCTCTGAATAAACTTCCATGTAACTGCACCCACCTTTGCTCAAATACCACTCGCATTAACGGTACAAACAGCATCGCCTATTCTGATTAGAGTACATTCTTCGTCGCCCACCAGAAAAATTGATACATATTTTGTTACTGGTTAAACCCTGTGATAAATAGCGTCAAAAGCGAGGAGAACCAATCAAGAGAAGAGCTTAATATAGTCAGGAAAGATTTTGAATAAATAGGTGGACCAGGAATATATGGACTTAGAGAATGGAAAAAGGAATGGCTTCTATCATTGCCAGCGATGAACCGAACACTATGGAGGTGTCTTAACCTTGTAGCCAGCGAAGCCAGTCTAATCATATCGGTGAGAAGAAGTCAACTATGATAACTATGATTATTCAAGAATTATTTTCTAATTATTTTCTGCGAAATTTTAGTTACAAGAGTGGAATTTTCCAAAAATAATCACTTTGTACTTGAAAGTTCTTCAAATTGCATAATTAATAACAGTTAATTAGAATAATAATGGCATTAGACAGCAAGTTAATAGCAGCTGATAAATTCAAAGCAGTGGCTATTGCTTGCAATTTATCAATATCAACGAAAGCTGAAAAACTTAGTGGAATTTTATTTATTAATTTACCATTTTATTTATTCGTAATCAGAAGCATATGAGTAATGTTATATTTTTGCTATAAAATATTGCAATATTTTAAATTTAAGAAAATATTTTTAAACGGTCTTAAAATAGCACATAGAAAGTATAAAAGGTTGAAGGTTAAAGCAATGAATTTAAGAAGCAAGAGGAGCCTTTATGAGAATTTATAAAGCTTATAAAAATAATCGTAAAATGTAATAGATTTTGAGGATAGCGATTCCAGTGCCCACAAGGGGTTTCGCAATCTGAAGTCAAAGCCTCCAGAAATCTTCCAGAAATATTAAAAATATAATAAATATGCAGTTATTGCTAAATTTAAAATGGCTATTTAAGGAAAAATTCATAGTAAAAGACGAAATTACCAGCATATATAGCAATATCTATAAATAAATCCGATAGAAAGTGTTAGAATTTCCAAATCGTACAGAAAAAAATGGCAATATTGTATGAAT